GACAATTATAGAACTATCTCTCTTATATCCCATGCCATCAAGATAATGCTCCATATAATCAATGAGAGACTGAAAACATTCCTTCAAAGAGAAATTCCACAAGAGCAAACTGGATTTACCAAAGGTAGAGGCACTCGAGAACACCTGCTGAATATAAGACAGATAATCGAGAAATCTAGGGAATTCAACATCCGACTATACATCTGTTTTATAGATTACACTTATGGCGAATACTAAAAGAAGTAGGTGTACCACAACATCTAATTACGCTTATAACCGAACTGTATGAACATACTACTGCATCAGTTAAAGTACTTGACACACTTTCGAACGAATTTCATCCAGAACGGGGTGTCAGACAAGGATGTATACTATCTCCACAATTATTCAACATATATGGGAAGTATATTATGCAAAGAGCACTTGAAGGATGGGAAAAGGGCATCTCAATAATTGGTCATAAACTAAACAACCTACGTTTCGCAGATGACACAGCCCTTCTTGCAAATAGGCAAGCAGAGCTAATAGAACTTATACGACTGATCGAAAACGAAAGATTGGTCTGCAATTAAACATATCAAAGACAAAGATCATGATAGTGGATAGACTACACAACAATCATCCACACATAACCACAATTGACCGGTTCGAGTTTGTGAGCTTATACTTATATCTGGGATTATTAATCACAAACACAGGGTCATTACAAGAAGAGATTAAACGTAGATGTGATCTAGCAAAAGTTGCCACAGCAAAAATTACCAAAATATGGAAGGACTTTTAAATTTCAAGAGCGATAAAGATGAGGTTGATCAACTGCTTAATATTCCCAATACTGACCTTCGGATGTGAATCTTGGACTTTGAGACAATCGGAGAATAGAAAGATAGACGCCACTGAAATGTTCTGTTGGAGACGAATGTTACGAATTCCTTGGATCGACCGTAGAACAAATAATTCAATTTTAAGAGAGCTAAAAGTTAGCTAACGACTCTCTAGTAAAGTCCATCTCCAACAATTAAAATATTTTGGGCATGTTATGAGAGCAAACACATAAAACATGGAAAGACTCATAATACAAGGAAAGGTAGAAGGCCGAAGATCACGAGGAAGATCCCCAACAAGATGGATAGATCAAATAACAGGAATATGCTAAAGACCTATGCATGAATTAAAAGAAATGACCAGAGACAGAGATCTCTGGAGACGGACAATACACGACATCACGTCGACCACTACACTCCCCCTGGGGGGTCAGGATTGAAGAGAGAGACTATTTCAGATGTCAAAAAAAGTAAGTCGAAAATTATGTAAACAATTATATGAAGGAAATAAAAACCACCGAAAATGTTGAAAAAACATGGAAATTATTTTATCAACATATGTCCAAGATACTAGAAGAACATAGTGTAACTAACAGATTTAAGAAACAACAATAGATGACAGAAATACTAGACCTTATGGAAAAAGGAAGGCAATCCAAGGACAAGGTAGACGAATACAAAAAAAATAAAGAGAAATAAAAAAATACGTGGGCTAAAGACAAGAAACATGACATATTCATTATGCACAAGAAACTATGTGAGGTGGCTGGTCTGTCTAATAAGAAAAACAGTAATACTCTAGTAGATAATGCGGGAAAAGTTATTATTGACGCATGAAACATACTTAAAATATGGAATAACTATATAACTTTTAAAGGGAAGGGAATGAAATATTAGAAAACGATAACATCGAGGAAATCTCTGAAAAACTCAAAAATATCATAATTAACGCAACAACAGAATCACTTGGAGAGAGGAATTTAACAAACATTGTTCCAACATTGTATTGTCTCATATGAGCCTTTCTTTTTTGGTAAGGCCTGTTGCTGGTAGCACAGGCAGTATACAGTATTGGAAGATTCACAACGGAACATAGGAATTATTAATAAAATTATTAAGATCACCTGACCCGCTACTCCTTGGCGATTTCTAGTAGCGTAATCGACAGGTGTACGTCGACACTGTTGTCTATCGTCCACTGATTTTCTGTGTTTTTGTGCAGATAATAACAATGTTTTATTAATAACATTTTTTTGTGTTCATTAGATATTATTTGAATTGGTTAGTGTATAGTTTAATATATTTATTATTCCAAATATTGTTGATAATTTAAAATTTAAAAGGATGTATATGATACATCAAAATCTACAGATTTTTGCCGAAGGTATCTATCGATTTGGCAACAGTCCCAAGGAACATCACTGGTCGATCAAAACAAATACATGCCCTTTGCTTTGCTTCTCATTATAACGCCATAAGCTGAAATAAAAGTAGTGTTTCTAACCATAAACCATGTATACAAACAAAGAAAAAGTACAAATTTTAAAATGGTATTATGGGGGCAACTCGTACCGTGATATTATAAATTTATTTACTTGTGCGTATGAAGATAGGCCAATACCGACACAATCAACTATTAGTCGTATTATTAAGGTGCGCACGTGCGCAGAAGTCGAAAAATATCGACTGGAGAAGGAGTCCAGTCGAACAAATGAATTAATTATAAGACATCGCGACGTTATATTGAAATTTGCACTGGGTAATTGCAGGTCAGGGGATCTTAATAATTGTATTAATATTTCGTATGTTCCGTTTTGAATCTTCCAATACTGTATATCTGACACCAGTTCTTTACATAATCAGAACTATTCATCCAATAAAACCGTTCCAGAATTCTCTAAAGAGTTTTCTTTAAACCAAAATGCCCTCCTGATAGACTGTTATTTAACTAACGAAGTACTTAGGCTATTCTTTTCTTTGTAATTACCAACTGCCTTCTCTTCTCTAAACCAGTACTCGTTTTTTCGTCATTTTCCAGTACTCGTTTAAGCAAGCTGTTTTTTAAGATAAAGGAGTCCCACTGGGCCCAATATGTGTCTTGTTCTTCTCAACTTATTGTTGATTATGTTGATTGATTGTTGTTCTTAGCAGTGCAGCTTTCTTGGATTCTGTTTTGTTGCAGTGGGAACACTTTACCGAGCACGGCCTTCTAGAAAGAGAATCAGCATTTCTTTGGTTAACTCCGGCCCGATGTTTAATCGTTGAATCGTATTCTATGAGTCGTTTAATTCATCTGACTATCTGACCCTCTGGATTCTTAAACTACATTAACTATTTAAGGGCAGCATGGTTGGTTCGAATTAAAAACTTTCTTCCACTACTACTAGAAGTTCTCTTTTCTTCAGATTTTGAAAGCACTTTACTTAAATATTCAAGCACTCATTCCTATCCTCTTTGAAATAGCACTCCTCCAATCCCCACATTACTTGCATCTGTATTTAAGATAAACTCTCTTTCTGGCAGTGGGTATCCTAAAATTGGTGCTGTGATTTATTAAATGTTTCAAGGTCTCAAAAACAGTTTGACAGTCGCTATCCCAGCAGTAATATCTTGCTTTCTCTATAAATCGCGTTAATGGCTTAATAATATCTGCACACTTTTTAATAAACCTCCGATAGTAGGTACATAGCCCAAGAAAACTTCTAACTTGATGTTTGTCAATGGGTTCTGGCTATTCCTTAATAGAATCGATTTTCCCCTTATCCACGACCACTCCTTCGTTGCTGACTACATGACCCAAATAATTGACTTTATCTTGAAATAGCTTCTCCAAGATAACTCCTTCAACACATTTTCCATAAGCCTCTCAAATGTAGCAACAGCATTACAGAGTCCAAATGGCATAACGTTAAATTGACACCATCCAGACCAAGTGGTAAAGGCTGTCTTCCCTTTTTCTACTGGGTCCATTTCTACCTGTCAGTATCTAGACTTCAAATCCAAAGTAGAAAATAATTTACTTCCATTCATTGTGTCCAATGTAACGTTGATCCGAGGCAGAGAATAACTATCTTTCTTGGTAACATTTTTCAACAAATGGTAGTCCAGACAGAACCTATCGTTCCGTAGTTTTTCTTGACCAGGACCATGGGAGAGACCCATGGTCTGGTAAAAAGTTTTATTAACTCGTCTTGCTTCATTTCTTGAACAATCCTTTTAGCTTCCTGTCTCTTCGCCTGTGGTAATCGTCGAGCTGTTTGACGAATTGGCTTAGCACTACCAGTATCGTTACTTTTAACAGCTACCTGTCTTGTAATAAGTTCCATTAAAGAAGAAGGCCAGGTAGACAGACTTGTTGGTTGAAGGACCATTTTAAGATTGACTATGATACCCTTTAGAAACTCCTGGGTGTTAACCGATTGGAAATGCTTCCTCTGGGTATCATAGGTTTGTGTAAAGTTTAAAATTTTGTAATAGAAGCGCTGCGGTTGCTTTTCAGAATTGACTTAAGAATTTGAGGTTGATGCAATCTCAGAATTGGTGGATGACACAGTGATGACTTCTGAGATTAAGGCAACCTCGCTTGATTGAAGATTGGCTATTTAATAGAAGTGGTGGCCATAATATTGGCTGATTTGTTGATAGTTTTGGACATAAAGCGTGTTCTAGCTCTAAAAGTGCCATTGTTGGATATGGCATCAAAATTTGAATCAGAGTTTTTCTTTTCACCAATCAGATACACACATCCTACATACCATAAATTTCACATAAATATGATCTTTTCTTATTGCCAAAGTTCTAAATACAATACAGCTAATACTACTTTGGTTATTGTATACTTATCACTGGTCACAAAACTTTCTAATTCCTTGTCCAATTTCTTTGTAAACAAAAGACTTAAACCTTATATTCCAAAATTGCTATCTTTGGGCTATTAACATTAACCGTTTATGAGAAAGCCCCGATTATTATCATATATTGTCGTACAAATATCTATTCTTCTATCTGCCTACTTTCTACTTAATTAGAAAAGCCATTAGTCATTCAAATATTTGAAACTTATAAATCTAACATTCCTATTTATAGGTTAAAACGACTTTACCGGTCGGGGAATTTAATTTTTATTAGATTTTAATAAATTTAAACTATAAGAATACATTATATTTCTTGTTCTAGGTGGTAAATGCGACCAAGGTGTTTGCAGAAAATTTAAATGGTCTTATATATCGTCTGGAATATATATTTAAAAACTCGGAAACCCGTGTGGATATAACAGGTAAAAAACTACCGAGAATTAACATTATTTGTACGTATAAAGCATAATGTACTTTCTAAAACTACATCTAACGGTAGATAGCGATGTTACGGTTTTGCAACATAGACATGAATCCAATAAAAGGTGTACCAGAAAATGTTCATTTAACAATTTCTACATGATTTCTATTTCCAGGTAAAAAAACGTTCAGGAAATCTCTTAAAAGTTCAAAATTGCGAAGTGTGGGACGTATTAATAAGATTAATACTAAAGATCTTATATCAACCTCCTTTCCGCAACATCTCGGAAATAAAACATTCAAACAAATTATTGTTACTAATCAACTTAAGGTAAGTCTTTATTAAACTGAAGATTTAATAGTAAAGGAAAACACTGTTTTTTATTTTCACAGTGTATGGTCACAGAATATAGTTGTAGAACATTAGCTTTCTAAACTTCTAATATTAAAATTTCAATATGTTAATAATATATTATTGTAGATGTAAACCGTCAATAATTGACAATATTTTAGACTTACTAAGTGATGTCCATGAAGCATTAGCAATGAATCAAACAACGTTAATAGCTATTTGCTTTGATCTAAATATGAACCTTCAAAACGTGTTAGAGATTACATTAAAAAATTGCACGCATCCAATACTCGAGGACACTACTTAGCCTATATCAAAAATTTCTTAAAAGACTTTTATTTTCAAATAAGAATTAACAAAGTTTATTCAGATTATTATACTGCAGAAAACGGTACTCCACAGGACTCAGTACTGAGTCCTACCCTAATCCTAGTTGCCATAAACAAGATATTAAATAAATTACCTAAACCTGTCAATTCTTGCCTTTATGCATACTGTTTAGTGATGTTTATTAAAGGATCACAAAAATACTCTATATGCAGAATAGTCCAGACCTTTTTAACCCATCTTTTGATGAATGGACATCTAGTACAGGATTCGAATGAATTCCCCGTTACAAAAGACAACTGGTATGCTTTTTTCGAAAAAATCACCCACTGTATCAGTCTTTTATATTCACAACAGCATCATTTCCTTCGAAAACATTGTGAAATAATACTGCATTTTATATGTGGTTATTTTAAAAGCTTTCCTAGAAAACGCACATACATTACTTGGTGCTAACATGCAACAAAAGACTCATTTGCTTAAAACACTATTAAATTGCTTCTGGTGGTCCAACTTCTCTACATTACTCCTTCAGTATAAAACACTAATCAGATCCAAAACCAATTACGGTTCAATTGTTCATGCCTCCGCAACCAAGGCTATCCTAAAATAGCTAGATACAGTCAACAATGCGGCACTTTGCAGCATAAGCAGATATTTCTAACACTTTCACGCGCTTCCTTTGTAGTTATCAAAAAGAATCATCTACTATTCGAAACATCTATCTCTAACCGACTCGCTTAACTCTTTTCTTAATCCAGGATATATATTCCAATATCATTAGAGAAGCTAATAAAAACTTACATAATGGCAGAAATGGCAGTAAAGCCTACTTTCTACTTACTACTTTCTTCAGCCTACTATTAATTAACAGCCAGATTACAGAAAAACAATTTGTTTTAGTGACGAAAGTACTTTTTCCCTCAATGGAAATGTTGACAGACTCAATGTGTGGTATTGGTGTGATACAACTTTTTACGTCTCATCTTTAAAAAAAACATACCCAATTTCCAGAAAAAGTAAATATTTGGGAATGTATTTTGAGCAACCAAAAAGTAGGGCTTGTTTTTCTCAATGCTAACTTAATCGGTGAAGTGTATCTGGAGATGTCACAAAACGCAATTGAGCCGTTAATTCTTGAAATTCCGGAAGATAAACCAGATAAATTCGGCAACTTGAAAATAACGTTTCAACAAGATTGTACTCCTACACACTATTATGGTGCAGGAAGACCTTACCTATATGAGGAATATCGTGATATATGGATTGGACGACGAGGTTCGATAGAATAGCCAGCTTGGTCACGGGACCTCACACCATTAGATTTTTTTCTGTTGCAATACTTCAAATCTAAGATTTACGCTACAGCAACCGACAGTATTAACATTTTGAAATAACAAATTGTTAAAGAATGTAGGGCAATTTCCCCCGACACATTTGAACGAGTACGACAATAGTTTAGCAATAGGATGTATTACTGCCAGGAAGTAGATGGAGCATATTTTAAACACTTAATATAAGAACTGGATCTTAAATCTTTATTAAATAAATGTGAAACTACAATAATTTTACTTACTATATAAAGTAGTTTGTCTACATCCGTTTATTTTCTCCCTTTAAATTTCACTACTATAAGTTAAACCGTGTAAAAGATACGAGAGGAAGAGGAATTTTTTTCTGGCACTGTATATGTATACTGCTTTTATTTTTTTAGGTTGACGGCGAATTGGTCGGGAAACTTGCTGAACAGTTCTTGACTAACCCATCATTGGAAGAAACTGATAGACTAAATTACTCCGTTCAATTTAAAAATCTTGAAGTCAACGGCAACATATATTTGTCCAATAAATTTATGGGAAAAAATTATTCAAAGTTATTAAAGAGTATTCTATATCATGTAAATATATTATATATTTTTTTAATAAAATGACAAGATCTTATCTAGGTAAATGCCATCGCAAATATTTTTTTTTTCTTTTAGGATGAACAAAATGCCACCGTTTCTGTAAAAAAGACATTTACTAGTGGACTTAATATTTCACAACTGAATATTCAATCAGACTCTATAAATAATGTAACTTTGAGTTCAATTGTATCGACAGATAAAGATCAAACCTTGAAGATAAATTTGTTAAAAGGAAAAATATATATAACCCATCTTTCTGTAAACGGTACATTTGACGGCAAAAATATTACAGAATTTGATGATAGCCTTGTCAAGCTCACTGGAGAACAGTATATCGATTCTACATTAACTTTTAATGATTTAGAAGTTAATAAAAACTTAGAAATTACAGAGAACCTTAATGGTATTGACACAGAAGAATTTTTGTATACTACAGGTGGAGGAAGTGTTGGAAAACATATTAATTTTGATAGCATTTCTGTTGACAATATGACAGTGCTAGGTAAGTAAATAAGTATATTTACACAGTAGCAAGTCTAATAAAAGGACAATCTACACTTTAAGTGTGCCTTAGCTTTTATCCCTTTAGCCACCAAGTTTTGAAAATTCTAGAGGAGAGCCGGAATTATAGAAAAAATGCATTTTATATTGTTCTTCAGTGCCTTATCGGGTCCGGATATTGGCGATTATCAAGGCTATCATGGTTTTGTTGACTGCTCTGCGAAACAGCTTCGCTGAGGTCATCCCAAACCATTGTCGGAGATTTTTCAACCACGAGATACGACGGCGTCCCGATCCTCTTCTGCCAAATACTTTACCCTGCATAACGAGTTGAAGAATTCGATATTTTTCTTCGTTCCACATCACGTGGCCGAGGTACTCAAGCTTACGTTGTTTAATTAAATTAAGCATTTTGAATTAGAGCTTCTTAATCAAAATATTGTAACCTAACTTGTCCGGTTGAGAAGTAGGGGGTGGAAAGAGAAGAAGAAAATCCGGGTGCAAGTTAGTTCACCTTGCAAACTGGCGCTCAGGTGTTTTGACTCCTACGTATATTTTTCAGCTAGGATATCTTTCACCTTTCTGGACTGAATCTTTTAATTTGTTGTTTCTTCTAAGAGATCAGCATACATTTTATTTTCTTAATGTTCAGTGAAAGTCCTCTGTTCAGAGTATCTACGACTCTGTGATTCTATTCATTAACTCCTAGAGGCTTCATATACTTCATAACTGTCAGCGAATATCACCGTGTCATCCGCGTATCCGATGTTATTGATACAGTATCCGTTAATTCGAATTCCGGCTTCAACATCCTCTACTGCTTCTTGAACGATTTCCTCAGAGCATTATTTTGAACAGCAAGCCTCTGTTCGGATAGACGATGTTTGATTCCTGTGTAAAGATTGTTAATAAATCTTAGATTACAGGTGTTTATTCTAATATTTGTTAATACCTCCATCAGCTTATCGTGTTTTACAGTATCAAACGCTTTATGGTAATCAGTGCAGCATGCACAAATATCGCAAATATTTTACTGGCACATAAAATTCTTGTTATACTGAAGTACCAAATATATTTTTAATTTACCGCTATAAGCAAACTATAAAAACTGTTTTACAATATTCGTCCAAACTGTTTTAGGCAATATTCGAGGAAACGTTTCTGGATTTAATTTGCAAAATTTCAGTGAAAATTATTTTAGCGCTACTAAAAACCAAACTATTCCAAGTCAATTTAATCTAAAGGCAGCAACAGTTGACACATTTTTAGTCAGTCGAATAAATGGAAATATAAACAACATATCCTTCGACGATGAATCCTTTAATAAAAACTTAAGAGAAGTCCTAAATTTAGAAAAAATGAAAGTGGATAGTAAGTTTCTATAAGACTTTTTCACACAATATAAAATCTATTTTTATGTAGTTTCTATTAACTTTATCAATCATAAAGGTCGCTATAGAACAGGGTTGTCCAACTGGCGGCCCGCATCCGGCCCGCGAGGCTATTTGTTGTGACCCACGTAAGATTTTCGAAAAGCATATATTTTCTTTAAATGCTGCCACTGTGAAAAAAATTATTTTTAATTTATTTTATATTTTATGGTTTAGCAGTGTTTTTACATAACAAGTACTGTACCGCGTGCCGCTTCGCGGACGTGTAACGAACACAATCATCCTCCACCACTATGAGAACTGCACTGATTACTGCGCATCACAGTTCACGCAGGCCACACCTCCCACTGCTTACCATCCGTCGCCAGCCGCCATCGTGCCATTCGTGCCAGTGTGCTACTGACACCTAGGCTAGTCGGCTAATCTATTACGTTGCTAGTGAACAGTGAGCTTGATTAATTATTTGTCTTGATTCCTCTTATACAATAATGAGTGTAAAACCAGTAAAACGGAAAATTGATAGTGAGAACAGAATTTACAAAGAAAGTTGGGAGAGTGATTGCTTGATTGCTAACAATAATGGAAAGTTGCAGTGCTTAGTGTGAATGAATGTAGTTTCAGTGCCTAAAGAATATAATGTGAGAAGACATTACACAACAGTGCATGAAAATAAGTATGCTACGTACACAAATGAAAGTCGGTGTGCCCTAGTTGCAGATTTGAAGAAAAAGCTTAAACAGAAAACTGGTATGTTCAGTAAAATATTACACTCTCAAACGCATTCTTAGCATGCATCTTATGCCGTGTCGCTTGAGCTGGCAAAGGCAAAAAACCCTTTCACTGATGGCAATTTGATAAAAATAGTGCTGTTGAAATGGCCAAAGCTTTCAGTGATTCTAACATGGCGAAGAAATTTGAATCATTGCCATTTTCACATCAAACCATACAAAGAAGGATTGTTGCTATAGGTGAGCAAGTAGGAAAATCTATGCTCAGCCTGGTTAAGAAAAGTTCATATTTCTCACTTTGTTTGGATGAAAGCACTGATCACACCGATGTTAGTCAGCTGTTAATATTTGTGCGCACTTCTTTTAATGATTTTATCAGTAAAGAGGAGTTATTTGATATTTGTCCTTTTTATGGAACAATAAAAGGAAAAGACATCTATGAGGCTGTGAAGAAAACAGTTGACAGAATTGAAGGCTTTGATAAATGTTCCGCCATAGCAACAGACGGGGCCGAATCAATGACAGGTAAAAAAATTGGATTACTGGGTCTGCTTCGAGAGAATGGTGTCACTTGCCCAACAATTCATTGTATTATACATGACAGGAGCTTTAGGTGGGAAAATCAGTCAAGGAAGATCAAGTTTTCCAAACCGTGATTAAGATTATAAATATGATTAGAGGTGGAAATCTATCTCTTTTACATAGGCAACTTAAACAGTTTTTAGTGGAAACAGAGGCTGAGTATGGAGACTTGCTAATGTACAACCATATAAGGTGGCTGAGTGCAGGAAGTGCATGGAACGATTTTTTGCCATAAGATAGGAAATCCCTGCATTCCTCAACAAATACGTTTCATCTGACACAACTGAACTGAAAGAGAAGTTTAAGGATCCAGAATTCTTAAGACAGTTAGCTTTTATAACAGATCTGACTAATCATCTTAACATGTTAAACTTGAGTCTTTAAGGAAGAAACCAGACGGTTTCAGATTTGATCGGAATGATTAAAGGATTCCAAAATAAGCTGAACGTGTTTAAACGTGCTTTGGAAAAGAACAACGTGACACACTTCCCTAGCTGTCTGCAAATAGCAGAAGAATTCAGCGGTGAAATTGAACAAGTTATTGATGAATTCAATACAAGATTTGAAGAAATTGAAAGTCTCAAAAGCAGTGTACTACTTTATAATAATCCTCTTGGAGCAACCATTGATAATCAACCACCCAACTTACAGCTTGAGTTATGTGCAGACATCTTCAAGCAGACATGTTCCTAATCACCAGACAAGAAAAGGGACCTGAAGTTTTCAAATTACTGTCAAAGGAGAAATTCCCAAACCAGCGAGATTTTGGACTGAAAATGACGTCAATTTTCGGAAGCACATATACATGTGAAAGTGCCTTTTCCTCCATGAAATACATAAAAAATAAAAACAGAAGCAACCTTACCGATTCTTCCTTACGTCATCTTATGAGAGTGTCTACAACTGAACTGGATGTGGACATTTCTTCAGATCGACCACAGTCCTCACACTAATTGGGTACATCTTTTTCGTTGCTTTTGCAATGTTTGTCTTGATTATTGAAAAGTGTTATTAATAAATTTTCCGTTTATAAAAAAATGTATTTGTCTAGCAATGAAAGAAATAATACTCTTTTTTGTTTTAATTATTTTTATACCTCACTTTATTTTGTTATTACTTATAACAAAATTATTATATGGCCCGCGACAACATCAAATGTTTTAGTTTTGGCCCTTGAGGCATTGCAAGTTGGACACCCCTGCTATAGAATATGTATGTTTTGTATATTTATAGTGTTGAAGTTTAGATATGAAAATTATATTTCAGATTTACGTATAGAAGAATCTGTAAAATTTAGAAAAGTTAACGATAACCCTATTGAAACTATATTGCCCATTGGTATACGAAATCCCGTTAGCAATTCTACAAGGAAAAATCTTACATTGGAAGTAGGTATATTTTTCAAAATTTAATATGTAACAATGTTATCATTTACATCTATGTATATTTTATTGTTATATACCAGACAAAAATACGGTCCGCAGGCCACGTGCAGCCTTTTGTTCTATTCAATCAGGCGCGCGAGGTAGTTTTGAGTAACTTTTAACCCCAAAAATTACGCAACATAGAATTATACATACAACCTCGGTATAACGAATCTGTAGCGCTTATTATTATATTTTTCACAAAACACTGTACAAGACACTCTCAACTCTAAACTTCAAGCGATCAAGTCTAGAACAACACTACAGATACTTGACAAACGCTTCCAAAAATAGAACCCATAAAATCTCATCACCCTTCTTAGAATAATTAACAAAACATCACGTACATTTGAAAACACTTCTGGTACAGGTGGACCCATAAACAACAAATATGTGTTTCTTTCATTTCAAAGAAAACCAAATTGATATTTTAAAACGCAAATACGTTAAATTTTATATAAACCTTATCTTAAGTATCTCATGAAGTATCACGTCTAAAAATTTGCGATATAATAAATTGGAAAAATGAAAATAAAAAGGATGTTGTAAGGCATAGTGTTGTAATCGCCAAAAAACCCTCAAGAAATGTCAAGGTTCAGAACTAAAATACCCCAGGCAAGCAGAACGAATCGTATCTAATATAAGTGTCCCAAAAAACTATTTTCAAGTTATTAGTTCCCTAAACTCTATACATTTTTTTTAACGAATTTTTAATGAGATTTGGGCGCGAAGTAGGTACCAAAACTCCTTTTAGCTCTGGCAAACTTTCCTTATCTTCACTAGGTTTTAGGCCACGAGCCGGCGCTGGACAACTACAGCTACTGTACCTTTTTTGTTGTCATGCCCTTATGAAATCTTTATAAGACCTAATAAAGCTAACGAAATCATTGTTTAATGTCAATCATTGAATTCCTATTTTAATTTCTATTGAATCCATTCCTAATTTATTTATACACAAATATATATTTATATATTTAACAGATGGTAAATTTTGCGTAACGCACAATAATATTTGTGTTAAGTGACTCTTATATTTTAATAATTTTTCAATAACGTTAACATAATATTTGTTATCTATTATTTTGCAGACTGATTTATTTGTTCCGTCTATAAAAATCCATAAATTAAGCTCCGTGAATTGGAACGACTTTATTGAACAGGTTGTCTTCAAAAATGAATCCAACATAGCTTTTTCTGGAAATAAATCGTTCGAAAACGGTATAAATGTGAAAAAATTGGTCGAAATCAAACAACTTAACGACGTGCCATTGGAAGACATACTTACGAAGGAAAAAAATCAAACAATTAGAGGGCCTTTACATATACAGGGAAATGTCGATTTCGTTAAAGTGTATATTAAGGAAAATATGAATGGCTTTTCAGTACCAGACACATTAAAACATATATTGGTTTCCAACAGAACTTATCGTGTATTAAGTAAGTTTTTAATAGTATCTTTTATATATCACAAAAACTAACTATTGCGGTAGGTATAGTTGCGGTAAGAAATATAGTAAAACGGTCAGATTTGTAGGTTTTCTAATCTTCTTTATCTTTTTATAATTTTTTTCAGTGATAACATTTACACCAGCACTGCCGCTGGCACTTTTTACAATATCAGATTGTTATACGGACTCCATATCACTATTCATATTAATTAAATTACAGTAAACAACACTCTACTTTTTACTAATGAACTGCTTCCCAACTAAAACTGCATAAAGTTGCTTGTAAAAAGAGAGCATCAAACTCAAGTCGCATTTAAAGCGTTCTACAGTATATTTATGTTACTGCGATCACGAAACACTTAGACAAGGCGCAAATTAAGGTACGTATAGCACGGTGAGGTGACCTTATACGAGAAAAACAGCGCTTAAGCCGGCCTCGAACATAGTGGCCAACGTTGGCCCCTACAGCGTTCGTCCAATATGTGTACCGACAAAACTGTGTTGGAGCCACTGTTGACGCCAACGTTTTTATCATTTGTTCCAACGTTTAATGTTTATTCTAGTCGAAAAATAAGTTTTCATTTTCTAACCGTTTTTTGAACATCTGCATATATGGCTTCAATTGAGCCTCCTCTCATTATTTGTGGGTTCATACCTATTCGAGGGAGTATAAACATAGGAGAAACAAACTATCCTGAAGCATTTACAGTGCATACTGTGGCAACAGTTTTCTCTGTTTCGCAAGATATTACGGACCCTACTTGTTTTTGACGAGGCGCCGAAATTTTTGATTAGAACCGTAGTTTCTAGACCGTAGAAATGACCATTTTATCTACATTAAACATTCGACTTTCAGAAAATTTTAACTTTTTCATAACTGTGAGCAGATTGTTAAAAAATCGTTCAACTGCATCTTTATTGACTACACAAATAAGGTTTTGACTGGTACCTTTGGGTTTTCTAACACTAATGTCTGGATGGTGCATTAAAAAGAGTTTTAACCAATCTTTACCAGCGATTTTCTTTATCGTATTGAAAAGATGTTTCATCTTATTTGCTTCAGCAAACTGAATGGATGGTTATGGTGAATTCCTCCCATCGTAAAAAATTGGTCTCCTGACAAGTTTTATGTTTTTTATGTCTATTGGATTTTAGTTTGTCACGTAGAGTGGATTCTGGAGTATTGAATGATCGACCTGCTTCACATATTTTTCAACGAGATTATATGGCAGTAATAGCAGCTTTAGTTCATCTTTTGTCCATTTTGCTCTTTCAATACAAACACTACATCAGCAAAAATTTTCACGCGGTGTAATACCGCGCAGCGCGAAATCACATGTTATTCCCCTGGGTGAGTAATCTAACTTATCACTGTTAGTTAATGGCTAAATACAATAGAATAGCTTTATTGACAATTAATAGCAAAAACACTAACCATTTTTTAAAGATTATTCGTAAATTTCATCAACGTCTTGAAAAACAAACACTCGGCGACCTTCTTTAAACCAACACTACGAATGCAGTCATATTTCAAACATGTGATCGGCTAGCAACGACCTTATACGAGAAATTCTTTGTATATAAAGAAGTATCCAGTTGTATTAAATCTGTAAATTACATTTCTAGCAACGACACCATGATGGAATTCAACCCAAAGCCAGTGAATATTAACCCATCAACGGCTAGTGTTACATTTATGTACCGGCCGCACCCAACTCTATTTATATGGCTTTGTCCTAACAACTGTAGCCTGAAATCCGTTTGTTGGTTATGTTAGACAACTGTCAGATGGTCAAACAATCCACTAGAACTCAACAAAGGAAAATAAGAAAAGGTAAAACTGGCTGCTGGGACATAGACCATAGTAAATCCCAAGAAATATAAATCACCAACACCTGACGATAAAAAAAAGTCAGGAGAATACCATCATCCCCCTCGTAACAGAGTTGTTAAGAAACCAAGGGGATCTAACAAGCAGACTAGGTCATAAAGCACCCTAATAAAAGTATTCAGAATGGTGGTAGCACACAGATACCATCCTGATACTCAACTAGATCGGATTCAAATTTGATCATTAACAAACTGGAGCAAGTACTTCATGAGGCTCCTATATGAGGTCAAGAGTAAACTTAAATATAATTATTCTAAATAATATGCCCAAGCGTCCCATGGTCCTTACCCGCGTTCCCAAGAAAAAACTTGATTTTAAAGAAATCATGAGAACCCGTTTAAAGAGGCAAAATCAAGTCCTTAACACAGAAGAGGTAAGGAATAGAGGTAGGAATAGTAACCAAATCGCCCATTTGAACTGTCCTTCTATAGTCTGATACTCACAAATGTTAAGGACTCAAAATGAAGGTAGCATAAAAAAAATCGGTACCCAACCAAACCCCTCTTTCCCCACACAGGAAACTTCTGGGTACCCCACTGGCCAGATGAGCAGTTTCTCTTTTGCTTTTTCTTCATCAGTATATTTAAATGGATACTCTTTCTTTTTATAATAAGTTGATTGCATTTTCACCTGCCATTTGTTTTTTTTTTTTCGTTTTATAACTATTTTGTAGAAGATATTTTTTTTCTTGCAGCCTTTCTTTATTGGCTATAGAGAGTATTTTCTTTAAATATAAACATATGCTTTAATTTATAAACATAAATATTTATTTGCTTTTAGATGATATAATTTTTAGTCGATTGCCCTACATCAAGTTTCTAAATATACAAGGCAGAGTTAATGATAAAGACATCGATAAGGTATTCAAAAATTTAGCATACAAAAATAAGGATATACTGTTGACCAATGATACGGTGTTTAAAGAGCCAGTAAGTATTGTTATTAGTCTTTTAATTACATAGTCTTTTAATTATTCACTTCCATTTCCTTTTTTCTTGGTCTCAGGGAGAATGGCTATTACTAATTTTCGATTTACGAATTCCTGCATAAATTGAAGAATTCCTGAAGAATTTGTAACATTTGGTATAAATAACATTCCTAATTTAATTACAATATTTATTTCAGGTTTATATAAAAAGAAATTTAGCAGTATCGGGATTTATAAACCATATAAACTTTTCTGATGTTTACTCCAAAATAGTCCTTACTACTAGCGATACTGATATAGACAGTGTCGTTAAGTTTACAAAACCAACAGTAGTCCTATATACATTAACCGTAGATGAAGACTTAAGTACTCATCTTCTAGCAGGATATAATACTACTGAGTGGCTTGAAAAGTCAATTTCTTTAAACAAAGGCTTGATAAAAGGTAAGTCGTATAAAAACGTATTAAAGCTGTTTAGCGATAAAACCTTTTTAAATCTATGTCGTTTTCTTCATATTTTATTTCTCAACACTAAAGATTTGGTAAGATTCCACAAGGCAATCTCATTGTCATTTGGATTACTTTACCTATTTATACCTGTAACTTCATTAATATTACTGTTTTTATCACAGGCTTTGTTTTCATGGAAAAGTATTCCACTTTTTTACCTGGTGGTAATAATATTTTTTACTGAATATAAATTTTAGGCGTATATAATTTTTCATAACTAATGTAAAACATAATTAAAATTAAAATTTACTGTAGTATAATTTCAAAAATTTAGGCACTAAAATTCAAGAAATGATGATGACGATTCAGCAGTATTCTTGGTCTTGTTGGGTACAAAAATGTTTAGAAATTAAAGAGAAATGAAAGAGTTAGAAATGAAGCTACTTGCATTGAAGATTTTTACAGATTATATGAGTGGCTTCAGATCAAAGACGGAAATGTGTCAAAAAACTAAAAATTTAGTTAGTAGTGGTTTCTTATAGAATTGTTCTTGTTCTTTTCAACGGTGATAATAGTTTGGTTTTGTTTATAAATTAGGTTTGTAAATTATTTTCCAAGCAAACAACGGTATTGACAAAATGGACGAATGATTAAAATAATGTACATAAAAAATTGTCAGAACATGGACTTTTTTTATAAGTAAAGAAAATATTATGTCGCCTGTATCCATGTGGTCATTTATTAGGAAAAATTATATTATTTCCAAATTTCCAAATTTAAACAAAATTCTGAGAATTTATTTAATTCTTAAAATTTTTGCTTGGAATCCGATAATTAAATAGGACTATATGCTTTGAAACCAAACTTCTTCTCTTCTTCTTGATGTGCCTATCCGTTACGAATGTTGGAGATCATCATGGAAATCTTTATCTTTTTTGCAGCAGCGCGGAAAAGCTGCACAGATCTTGAATTGAACCAGATTCTGAGGTTCTTCAACCAAGCTGTTCTTCTTTTTCCTGGACTTCGCTTTCCAAATATTTATTTTTCTTTGCAGGATGGCTTGAAGGAGAGCATATCTGGATTTATTTCGCATAATAGGTACGAAGAATTTTAACTTTCGAGATTTAATGGTGGTCAGTACCTCTCGGATCTTATTCATTATCCTGAGGACCTTCTCATTTGTGACTCGGTCAGTCCACGGGATCTTAAGTATTCTCTAATTGGTTTCTTAAGAAACTACCTAATGCAAAATATGAGTCATTACTGAAGAATAGGCCGGAATTACAATGTTGCCTAGGCCCGATTAAGCCTTAGTCTGCCACTGGGTCTATTGCTTTTCTACTGGTCAGCGTTACATGTTTTATTAGATACTTTAACATTATTCTATGACTATTTAACTGTAAAAGAACTATTACTATAAAAGATGATAAATTATCGATAATCAGAACCTGGCAACTCTGTTGTCGTTAAAACTAAATTATGATTGTGAAAAAGACAGCAAATATTTGATTTCACGCAAACAGCGCCTTTGTATCTATTGATACGTATTTCGACCTAATAGGTCTCATCAGAACAGTTATTCAAAAGTGTTCTCAACGTAAAAGATCAATATTTTCTGTCTTTTAAGAAGCAACACTAAAATGGCTTCGATACGGACGCAATAGCGACATCTGATAATAAAACCGTAACATAGTTTCTAAACACAATTCAGATTTCCGCTTTAATCTGTGCTTTCTAAAAATTGCAAAACAAAACAGACGTTGATGAAGGTGTTAAAAGAGACGTGGGGAATCTAAAATTTGCATTCCACGATACTTCTGTTCAACTAAGCAGAAATCCTTAGCGAATTGGTTTCTTGTATTCGTACAGAGTAGATCCGAATAAAGTGAAAAAGACAGAAAATATTTGATTTCACGCAAACAGCGCCTTTGTATCTGTTGATACGTATTGCGACCTAATAGGTCTCATCAGAACAGTTATTTAAAGGTGTTCTCAACGTGAAAGATCAATATTTTCTGTCTTTTAAGAAGAAACACTAAAATGGCTTCGATACGGACGCAATAGCGACATCTGATAATAAAACCGTAAAATAGTTTCGAAACACAATTCAGATTTCCGCTTTAATCTGTGCTTTCTAAAAATTGCAAAGCAAAACGGACGTTGATGAAGGTGTTAAAAGAGACGTGGGGAATCTAAAATTTGCATTTCACGATACTTCTGTTCAACTAAGCAGAAATCCTTAGCGAATTGGTTTCTTGTACTCGTACAGAGTAGATCCGAATAAAGTGAAAAAGACAGCAAATATTTGATTTCACGCAAACAGCGCCTTTATATCTGTTGATACGTATTTCGACCTAATAGGTCTCATCAGAACAGTTATTCAAAAGTGTTCTCAACGTAAAAGATCAATATTTTCTGTCTTTTAAGAAGTAACACTAAAATGGCTTCGATACGGACACAATAGCGACATCTTATAATAAAATCGTAACATAGTTTCTAAACACAATTCAGATTTCCGCTTTAATCTGTGCTTTCTAAAAATTGCAAAACAAAGCAGACGTTGATGAGGGTGTTAAAAGAGACGTGGGAAATCTAAAATTTGCATTCCACGATACTTCTGTTCAACTAAGCAGAAATCCTTAGCGAATTGGTTTCTTGTACTCGTACAGAGTAGATCCGAATAAAGTGAAAAAGACAGCAAATATTTGATTTCACGCAAACAGCGCCTTTATATCTGTTGATACGTATTTCGACCTAATAGGTCTCATCAGAACAGTTATTCAAAGTTGTTCTCAACGTGAAAGATCAATATTTTCTGTCTTTTAAGAAGCAACACTAAAATGGCTTCGATATGGATGCAATAGCGACATCTGATAATAAAACCTTAAAATAGTTTCGAAACACAATTCAGATTTCCGCTTTAATCTGTGCTTTCTTATAATTATTATTTCTTAGAATTTAGTGCTTAAAATTTTGGTATTATATCATAATTATTGTTTTATTACTTATTGTTTTACTCAACAAATACTATAAAACATTTCTTGCAATGTTAAACTATTTTTTTGAAACATTAGCTACTATTATAAAATTGTTTATTTTTTAGGACACTACAATTTTGAGCACGTGTTAATTAATAACAATCTAATCACAGATTTTGTCAACGATATAGATATGAAGCACATAGTGCCATTAAAAACTGATCAAAATATTGACCACTTAAACTTTAAATTATTAAGATTTGTTAACGATATTCCTGTTGGCAAGACTGTCAATGATCTACATCTACCAGCTGAAGTGCGAAGATCCCTAACGGTAAGAGTATAATAATTCAAATAATAAAATAATAGAATTTGAACAATTTTAATAAAAACAAAATAGAAAGTTGGGATTTGATTTCGCTATTTCATACTACAATTCGTTGATATGCATATTTCTATGCATAACTCTTTTAGTTATCATGTGCTTTTTAACTTCGATTGAAGTCTCAAATGAGGCAAATGAGATCTTCTGCTGTTTTCACGCATCTATTGTCAGACATTTTTTTTCTATATAATATATTAATTATTGTAATTATTCTGTTTTTTTTCCAATAATTTATTTCTACTTCAAGTTTATTTGACGCTTCGATTTTTGAAGTGGAAAGTTTATCACTCCTTTTGTCTGTTTCGCAGACTGTATCCGCCTGTACATTTTTCAATACTTTCTTTCCTACTTTTGATTTAAAATCTGCCATTATAATTACTGTTATATCTTTTGGTTTAATGGATTTCAAATTGTTGTCTATGTCTTCGTAAAAACATCCATCCATCATTAATCTAATTAAACCTGGATTTAAAAAACTTTTTTTATGTGACTATAATGCGAAGCGCTGCAGTTTTTATTATATAATAACAGATACTCTGTACAGATAATGACATCTATTAAGAGAGTAAGAAGGCATTTATTCAAGACACGCGCATCATAAAACACAAAAAGGTACGCAAAAAATATCACATGCAGACTTCTAAGTAGTGTCCGACGTTCTACTAGAATCTACAATTTCATTGTTTAAAAACTTTTTTAAGTCAACCCAGAGCTACAGCCAGAAATAAGCAAATCAGAACTAAAGATGGCATTGAAAGGAATGAAAAACAACAAATCGCCTGGAAAAGATGGAATAACTGCAGAGATGCTGAAAACATTCCCTTTTTAACAAGATATTAAAAAAAAAAGAATCCCAAACAACTAAAAGGAATCCGTAACCATTATCCTACACAAGAAAGGGGATAAAGCAGATATAAAAAAACTACCGTCCTATAACACTCGTCAATGTAATGTATAAACTTCTAACAAAAATTTTAACCAATACATTGACGCCAAAATTCGACGCATACCAGTCGAAAGAACAAGCTGGTTTTAGAAAGGGATTTAGCACAAGTGACCATTTACTTAGTATGAAAATACTTATAGAACGAGAAATATATATGGCGTTCATAGATTTCGAAAAGGCTTTCGACAGCGTCGAACATTGGGCAGTGAAAAACTCTTTGATTAACAGCAGAATTGACCACAGATATACGGAACTAATAGCCAATATATATATATATATATATATATATATATATATATATATATATATATATATATATATATATATATATAAGGAGCCAAAACAACAATTAAAGTATATGAAGGAACAAAATCAATACAAATATATAGAGGCGTGAGACAGGGTGACACAATATCACCGAAACTTTTCAATCAGGCTCTGGAAGATATTTTTAAAAGATTAGAATGGGAAGAAAAAGATATAAAAATTTGTGGACAACGCTTGAACCATCTAAGGTACGCTGATGACATCGTATTGATAACCGACAAAAAGAAGAATTATTTGAAATGATGAAAGAACTGGACGTAGAAGCTGGAAAGATAGGCCCTAAATATGAATTACAGCAAGACCAAATGAAGACATCACAATGAGAACCGGACAAGATGAAATAAAACAAGTGCAGGATTATATATATATATATATATATATATATATATATATATATATATATATATATATATATATATATATGTGTGTGTGTGTGTGTGTGTGTGTGTGTATCTGGGCCAAACTATAAAATTTATATAAACTATAAAACAAAGAAAACCAAACAGCAGAGATAAAAAGACGAGTTAGACTGGCATGGGCGGCATATAAGACCGATGGAATAAAATTCTTATAAGTTGGAGACGTGGAAATATAAACGAAGCAGAAAATGGCCCCAAATGAGATGGGCAGATGATACTAAGAAGCACGTGGGCTCTAGGTGGATGACTGTAGCGACAGATAGAGAAGAACGGAAAAGGATTGGGGAGGCCTATGTCCAAAGATGGACCGAAGAAGACTAATTAGATAGATAGATAGAAAAACTTTTTTAGCGTTAACAAAGGAACAGGATACAGAATGGAAAACAAAGAAATAAAAATACTCTGTTACGCACACGACGCAATATTGATAGCCTAAGATAAATATAGTGTGCAAAGACCGGTCCTCAGATTTAACATAAGAGGCAAATAATTTAATATGACAATTACATCTCAGACAACTAAAACAATAGTAATCAGCAAAGAACCAAACAGATGTAAAATAGAAATTGATGGAATCAGTATTGAACAAGTAATGGAAATAAAATAAATTGTAATTACACCGTCCACCTATAAAGACCTGGACAAAGAAGTAAAACAAGTACAAGTACAAAAACAAATTGACTGAAAGAATGCCTTAATTATATAGTGAAACAAACACATTAACACTAAGATAAATTTGAGTATTTATAAAGCCAGTTTAAGACCAATCATGACATATGCTGCATAAACAAGACACGTAATACAAAGGCTACTGGAAACGACAGAGATAAAAGTACTGGGAAGAATAACTGGAAATACTCTGACAGATCGAAAGAGAAGTAAAATCAGAAGAAAATGTAACATACAGTGTATAAATGTTAGGACACAATATAAAAAAAAGAATCGAACAACCACATAAGCAGAATGGAAAAGGACCGTGTCGTCAAAATAGCAAGAGATATGTCACCAAACTTCTAAAGCACTGAGGACCAGATCTGAGCCAACAACTATTAAAACTTACCCAAAAAATAATAGGACAAAACAGCATGTCACAATAATGGAGATAAAGCTTTCTAATACGTCCCTTTAAAATGAGAGACAAATCAGACCCAGAGAACTACAGAGGAACTTATTAAAGACAACACTAAAATTAACAATAAAAGTAATAACAAATAAACTAAATGATATTAAAACACTAGCAGAAAAACAAAAGCATGGAGAAGGTCATGCTGAAGCTATATTTATACTGAGGCAATATTTTTGTTCCGTGGACCTTAAGAAGGCATTGGATAGAGTTAAATTAAAACACGTCATCCACTTATTTTGCGCAAGGTAGTATATTTAGGAACAATCAAAACGATCGTAAATATCTACCAGAATATTACAATAAAAGTGTTCAATTTTTTCACTTGCGAAAAATCATTTCATTTTTTCGCTTTATTCGTACCGCGAAACACGTGTTCAGAAACAGGTGCTCGGACAGATTTCGCGTATAAAGAATAACCGCGAATGTGTGGAGCAGAAATATTGGTAATACTTTGAATAAACTTAATTTGCTATTGTCTGTATAACCCATTACTATATATCCTAATTTATGTGAACCATCCCTATGTCATATAGTCCACATACACTAAAATTATACTCATAATATCACAATGTACACCCTTTTTGTTCAAAAAGTAAAAGAAGAAGAAGGCCCATATTGAAACTGGTAATAGCATTTACAGAAGAGTTATCAGACCAATAATGACACAGCCTTACACAGAAAGAACAAAAAAACCTTTACGAAGAGAGTTGTACATAAATCGTTGTACGTAATCCAAGTAAACCAAGTTGATCGTAATCCATATCTGCAAAGTACGTTGTCGACTTTGGTTAGTATATACTATATATTCCTTATGTTTTGCAAACATGATCAGGGGAAATTGTTTCCTGATGGCTATCGAAGAACCGTCTATGACCAACATATATTCTTACCGGATACCGGAAGTACAATAACAATTTTAAAAATCAATTACCTGTTCGTCGTAGATAAAATATAGTATGCAGCTCGTTGCGATTTTCACACTTGTGATAGTCTCAAATTGTTTAACACCAAATTTTTGTCTGTCATGCTTGGGTCATATCCCCCGCGTCGGTGTAGCTTCGTTCTGACATTAACTACGGAAAAGAAAAAGAATTGACAGTTGACAGATAAAGAAGAATTGACGGACCAAAAAGAAGAACAAGGGATAGATGAAAAATGGTTCCAGTCTTGACTAAGGTTCATGCTCGGCTGGTAATGCAGATTCAACGCTTACCGCAAGTGACTGCAGAGTAGTTCAAATGTCCCGTCTTGTCTCTCCCAAGTGTCCCATAGTCTGCTATCAATGCAATCTGCAGAAGTATTGGACGACCACACAAAAGAAGTGACAACCTTCCATAGAGGTATCAATCCGCCAATGAATAAGCAGAATTGTTTATAAAGAGTAAGAAGAAGAAGACGGAGAAGAAGAAGAAAAATTGTTTTAACATTTATCAATTTAATAAATCGTTCTTTCCTAAATTGATTTCAGTTGGACAATATTCTTTGTTATTAATATGAATTAAGATATCCTAGTAATGTGTCTGTACAATTCTTTATACACGCAGCGGAGTTGCCTACTCTCAAAATTGAGTTTGACACATTACACGAAGTTTTTACTACTTGTGCAACCTTTGTGGTATCTGTTATTTCTCGAGTATATTTGATTAGAGCTTCTTGATTTCCTTTTACACCTGTATGTAATCGTCTCCCAATCGGAGGTTGGACATCATCATCACTAATCTTTACTCTATCTACTTCTGCTCTGAAGAGTTCTATAGAACTGCATTTAGTTCAGCCTTAGCAGTTAATATCGCTCTCCTCTCATTACGTGTTCCAGATATTGATAATTCTTTTCCCAGTTCTCGCAATACTTCCGTGTTTGCTTTCTTCTGTGTCCATGCTATTCTAAGCATTCTCCTGTAACACCACATTTCAAAGGACTTTAACTTATTTTTGTGTTCTTGTTTCAATGTCCAGCTTTCATCATTGTTTGAAATCCATCTTCCTAGGTATTTGTATTTATCAACCGTTTCTATTGGTATATTTCCCAAATGTATATTTGTTTGTATATTTGTTTTCTTTGTTATTATCATGTATTTTTTTTAGTCCATACTTTTCACACCTTTTTGTTTTGTTTAGCAGTAACTGGAATTGTTCAGCAAAGCTTTCCATAAGCACGGTGGCATCTGCATATCTTATGTTGTTAATAGATCTTCCGTTAATTATTATTCCTTTACTTTGAGATAGTAATGCTTCTTCAAAAATGGCCTTACTACATACATTAAATAGTAATGGGGACATAATACATCCCTGCCTAACTCCTCTCCTGATTTCAATATCTGGACTGGGTTCGTTATCCATTACGATTTGTGGTCTTTGATTCCAGTAGAGGTTTGTTATTAGTCGTAAGTTCCTATGGTCTTTAGAATTTGGACTAATTTTTTATTTATGTAATGGAAAAATGAAAATGAAACCATTGATTCTCAGTGTTTTATTTGTATTAATTTCTTTTTTCAGATGGATACCGATCAAGAAATCTCTCCTACTACGATATTTAATTTGATATTAATCCATAAAAACCTACGAACTTCTCATCTTAATAACCAAGAAACCTCAAAAATGGTAACCACTGATACCGATCAAAATTTGACTGCAAGTTACCACTTTAATTCGAAATGTGTAGTAGAAAATGATTTAGAAGTTACTGGTTTCATTAACGGTGTCAAGCTAGACGATTGGAAGAACAAAACTTTAAAAATTAACTCAGAAAGTACACAGTTCGTGTGTAATGACTGGAAGCTGGAAAACATTACGTTCTTAGATAACTTAGAATCCTTTAATAGAGTTAGTGACCTCAATTTAACACAGGTATCAAACGAAATTAAAGCGAGAAGAGATTTTAAATTTCAGGTGGAAAATGGAACTATTGTAAGTATTTTTTTAGTTAAGTATTTATATAATTATTTGAATAAAAGAATATTTGATTGTTAACATACATCATCATCGTAGTTATCTAGAGTCTTATATCCACTAGTGGATATATATCTTCTCCATCTTTTACCATCCTGTTTGGTATATCTCGTCTTGTCATTCCTAGTATTGCTCTTTTTTTCTCCTTCTGTTACTCTCAATTTACTTTCAGATTTTTTAGTCAATTTCAAATTTCGCAACCGTAATTTATTGCCAGAGTATACATTGGTTGTAAACTTTTTTTCTTTAAGCAAATTGGTAGCTCCTTTTAGAATAATCCTACTAAATCTCACAGGTTTGATTATCTTTTCCCATTCTAATTACATATTTCGAATAAATATAGCTTAAACTTACCTTTATACAGAAGCATAAACTCTTAAGTTATATACTTCTGCTTTTAGCAGAAGTAAAAACCTGTTTTACTTCTTTTCTACCTATTCCATAAGATCACTTGGAACTAAATTGCTTATGTACTTTTTATTTTTTGATTGTTCTATTACCTGTTTTATTTCTTTCGTCGTTTTATAAGCTTCGTTTAAGCTCTTGGATGTTACAACAATATCAACTTCAAAACGCAAGTAAATTAAACATTTAACATCAATATTTATTCCCTTTTTAATTCAATCTTGTTCTTGAAAAGCATATTCCAGAGATATTGTGAACAGTTGGTGTAAGATGGTGTCGCCCAGTCTAATTACTCACGCCCTGTTGCTTGTCTAATTAAGGATAAATATCCTATATTTATATATTGTTGTATGTATACCTTGTTGTATCAATATTTTATGTACTTGGCGTGTCTATAGTCTACTCGAAATTGTTATAAAATTCGGCTAATATCAGCATCAGTGATTTATTATACCCAATACACTTTTTAATTTGTTCTATAGTCTCTTTTAAACACAGGTTGTTCCTTCATCATCCAGCCTTTATGTATTACGTCCACTGCTGAACATAGGCCTCTCTTAAACACCTCAATTCTTTGCAGTTTTTGTTCTTGCTCTTTGTTGCCAATTTTTAGTGATACGCCTGATGTCATCAGCCCAACGTGTAGGTGGTCTTCCTCTACTACGTTTGTCTGCTCTTGGCCAATGTGTAATTTTGCTCGTACATCGTGAGTCATGCATTCTCGCTACATGGCCTGCCCAATTTAATTTTAATTCTGCTATTCGTCCCACAACATCAGCAATCCTTCTTCGCAGATTTTCGTTTCTTATTCGGAAACGCCACGAGACATCCAGCATAGAGCGTTCCATTCGTCTCTGTGTCGCTCTTAATTTTAAAGCCATAGTCTTGGTTAGTCATGGTTTCCGCCCCATAGGTCATGACCGGTAATACGCATTGGTCAAATACTTTTCTTTTGAGGCTAATTGGTATGTTGGCCCTAAGTGTGTCTCGCAGTTTTCCAAAGGCTGTCCACGCTAAAGAAATTCGTCTTTGGATTTCGCATGTTTGTTTATCCCTGCTGATTCTTATTTCATGATCCAAATCCATATATTTCTTCACCAGTTCTACCACTTTGTTTTAAATAGTTAAATGGTTATTGGAGACCATATTTGTCATAAACTTAGTATTGGTCAGGTTCATTCTGAGGCCCACCTTCGAACATGCAAATTTAATTCATTTAACATATCTGTGGCTTCTCCTAAATTATCTGTGATAAGGTCAATTTCATCTGCGAAACGGAAATGGTTAAGTTTTTCGCCGTCTATTTTTACTCCTCTGTGGTCCTAATTGACCATCTTAAAGGCATTCTCTTAGGGTTGCTCCTTATGCAGTTAGAAAACTAATTTTCCTTCTAAACGTTTTATAAAGATTTTGGTAAACCATTTGTAAATCTGGGATAACAGATTTTTTGATCTATAATTATCTATATCTGACATCCTCTTTTTGTATATTAGGACAGTGACCGTATTATTTCGTTTTGTAGGAACTATACTTTGGTTTAGCCGTAGATTAAATAGTTCAGCTACTATTTCCAAAAACTTTTCGCCTTTTACTTTGACAGCTTCTTTTACGCTTCGGTTGTCTTCCGGAGCCTTGTTGTTTTCCATTTCCTTTAGGAATAAGTTTGAAAGATTGAAAGTTTGACAATACATCTCTTCAAAAAAGGAAACGGGGGAGATCTGATGAACTATAAGCCAATCTCCCTGCTGTTCCAACTATACAAACTGTTTATGAGCAATAACTAACAGGTTAACGTCCGTCGAAGCTCGGTAGCTAGCAACCGGTAGAGCAGACAGGATTCGGAAAAGGTTACAGTACAGGGGATCATCTTCTTACGGCCAGAACGCCAATAGAAAAAGCCAATGAATATCACTTGAACTTATACATTGGCTTCGTTGATTATGAAAAGGCATTCGACTCCATAGAATTTTGGGCAATAGAGAGAGCTATGGACAACTGTAGGATAGACTCCCTATCCAGAATGCCCATACATAATATTCACAAGAAAGCTACAACGAAAATACAAATGTAGAAATGTATAAATATGTTATCTCACCAAATCTATTCACAGTTGGACTGAAAAACATGTTCAAAGACATTAACTGGTCAGAGAAAGGAATAAATGTTAATGGAAGAAAATTGAGTTATTTGAAATACGCTGATGACGTTGTAATATTCACTACAAGTTTCGAAGAAATACAGACCATAATGACATAACTCAAGCTTCGGAAAAAGTAGGTCTTAAGATGAACTTGGAAAAAACAAAAATAATGACAAATACACCGAACATTAGAGAAATATCGTTGAACGATATAAATTTAGAAACAGTAAGCAAATGCTTGAGACAGATAACGAAAGTTAACAAAGAAAATCAAACTGCCGAAATTACCAGAAGAATAAGGTTTTCGTGGGCAGGACTTGAAAAAAAGCACTAAAGAAAAAGAAAAACCCAACGAAAGACGCAGGAGAACATGATGCCAAATTAAAATGGAGCTTCCCAGGACACAATGCCCGACTGAAGGATAAAATATGGAACCACAAAATATAACAATGGAGACCATGGCTAGGAAAGAGAAGCAGAGGAACACCACAAATGAGATGAGCTGATGACATTAGGAAGATCGGAGGACACAACTGGAAGCAAGATGAAAAATAGAAAACACTGGATTGATTGGAGGAGGTCTATGTCCAATGTTGAATTACTTAAGGTTGAAGAGAGATAGATTACGGATGTTTGGTATATGGTCAGCTAGTATAACTGATTTACTTAAACTTGATATAATCCAATTTAAATCTTTGAAAATTATTTTAGGGTTAATGAGAAGCACTCCAAAATAAGCTACACTAGGTTCTAGCCTCTGAAAACCGACTCTCATTACGCAGAGAAGATCTGGCAGCGAATGCTTCCTAATCCAACATTATCGGTGACTCTATAAATCAATATAGATAGATAGATAGATAGATAGATAGATAGATAAGATAGATAGATAGATAGATAGATAGATAGATAGATATAGACAGATAAAATAATTAATCAATTAAATACAGATGATTAACAAGTACGTTCTTTTTAAAAAATATATAATCCCCATTATATGGGGGATTATATTTTGCATTTGCTTACTATTTCACCAAAGCTTTTACCTTAGCATTGGAAATGTATTCAAACAGCTTTGACTGGGAGGAAAAAGGTCTAAACATTGATGGTGTACGTTTGAGTCATTTGAGGTTTGCGGATGACATAGTATTATTTAGTACAGATATCAAGGAACTGGAGCAAATGTTGAAGGAATTAAACCAGCAGTCAAATAAAATAGGTCTCAAAATGAACCTTCAGAAAACAAAAATAATGAGTAATTTACAAACTAATCTTGTTATTGACAACCTCACTCTTGAAAATGTAGACCACTATATATATATTATATATATATATATATATATATATATATATATCTTGGACATACCATTAAAATCGGCAAAGAAAATCAAATAGCCGAAATAAAAAGACGCATACAACTGTCTTGGGAGCTTTCGGCAAATTAAGCTTTATTTTGAAGAATAAAGATATACCAATGTGTCTAAAACGTAGAGTTTATGACAAATGTATCTTGCCTGTAACTACATATGGACTGGAGACCATGGCCTTCACAAAGAAAACCTTAGAGCAGCTTAGTACAACCCAAAAGAGCAATGGAGAGGGCCATGCTAGGGATTAGTTTGAGAGACAGGATTCGAAATAACGTCATTCGTGAAAGAACAACAATTACTGATGTCTCAGAACGTATTGCAAGGCTCAAGTGGCAATGGGTCGGACACGTTGCCCGAGATAATCCCGAAAAATGGACACAAAGATTAACAAACTGGAGACCAAGAGAGAACAGGCGAGGAGTAGGCAGACCGCAGAAGAGGTGGAAAGACGATATCAAACAAGTCGAGGGCAAGCAGTGGATGAGAATTGCCAAAAGTAGAAATCGATGGAAGCAAATGGAAGAGGCCTATGACCAGCAGTGGACGAACACAGGCTGAAGAAGAATCCCCCCAATAGTCTTACGTTAATAAATTCTCCTTATAATCCTATTTGGGAATCGTTGGACATACCACACCTGACAAGTGTTCTATCTACAAACATTATTATTCCTAAATACCAAACTGAATTTTGTCGTAATACTCTCAAGGAGATCTTAAGTAACTATTCAGATTACATTGCAATCTATACAGATGAGTCAAAATAGTAAGATATATAACCAGTGCTTACTTTTTACCAAAAATGAAGACTAAAGAAGCATTTACTTTAAATAATCAATCCGCATTTTTCCTCTGAAGCATGTGCTACATTAAAGCCCTTGAATGGTGTTGTGAAAACCAGTAGAACAAAATTGTCATATGCACTGATTCATTATCAGTATTAAATTCATTACAAAACTTTAAAGTCGCAATCAACAGTTACTAAAATTATCAGCTTTATCATATGATGTTAAATTCGTACATCTCAAATCTATTTGAGATGTACTGCTGAGACGAATGCTGAGAATACCATGGGTGGCCCGAAGAACAAATGAATCCATACTGGACCAGCTAAACATAAAGAAAAGACTAAGAACATAAATATCAGAACAAATAATAAGCTATTTTGGACATGTGTTTCGAAGAAATGGTCTTGAAAAACTTACCATCCAGGGAAAAGCAGAAGGCAAAAGAAATAGAGGTAGATCTCCCACACGATACACGGACCATATTGTTGCTACCATTGGCGCTCCATTGTCAGAATGTGCTAGAATGGCAGAAGATAGGAAAACGTGGAGGAACATTGGGAAATTTAGCTAATAGCTTCATGATAGCACGATACCTGCATCAGGCTAACGACTAAGAAGAAGAAGTTAAATTCGTATGGGTTAAGGGACATTCAGACATATTGGGTAATAGCATTGCGGATTCAATAGCTAAAAATCCACCAAAGCACCCACATACATCCTAAGATTAAAAGTAGATCATTGATGTTTTCCGAAGCATCTTCGTAAAATCGGAGTTCTCCAACAGACAGATGTGAGTGTGGAACTAGTGTAGCTGATCTTAATCACACATTCTTTAACTTTCCCTTACATGTCAATACAAGTACGTGTCTGCTTCAAGAATTGTTGAAAGCAGGTTTAAAGACGTCATTAAACCTAAATGTAGTATTAAGTAAAGATAATAAAAAAAAGTTTTAAATTGATTATGGTATTTCAGCAAAAAATTAAATTAAAGATGTGAATGAAAAATTTGATCGTTTGAATAGATTTTTTCTTCGTATGTGTACCTATTTGTTTCTCACCTATCTAATCGTGGTTTATGTTTTGTGTGTTATAATGTGTTCTAATGAAGTCGCTCTGATGAACCCCTGAGTGTGAAAAGTGTCCTCCGTGTACAATCCTGAATTAATGAATACTAATATTTCTATGTAATTACGTGGCTAAAGTTTTTAAACCAAATCTAAAATATAAAAAATAGATTTTTTTTGTATTTTTACGTGTTTAATATTTTGCTTTAATAAAATATAAATTAAAACATTATTGCATTTTCAGAGTGACTATAAAGGTATATGCAAAGACGTTACATTCTTCTACGATAAGACCCAATCTCAAATATACAAATTTAAATATTTTGAGATTTTTCAACAACTTTCATTTTCCACTAATATCAATCTGGTTTATACCTTTCTCCATAAAAATGATCTCTACTTGCTAATTAATAAACAAGACTGTCTAACCGATATCAAGATGTTTAACGGAACTTCATTTGTACCGTTTTTGGTCAACATATCGACAGGAGAATTTGAACAGATAGTGTCAACTTGGGACGACGATGTTTTGTTTTTGGTGACAAGAGCAAGCAGGAAAAGTAAATGTCCCAATACAGGAGGTGTCAATATTTGGACATTTGATGAAAGTGGCGTAGAAGTAAGAATTGTTACAATTTAACTTACTATAGTATTTAAAAATTTTAAAGTCTAATTTTGGTCATTTTCCTATAGAGAAAAAGATGCAAAACAAAACACATTTTTTTATATAAACACAACACTGATTATTTTTCTTACTAGAAAATTGTAGAATATACCAAAATTTCTCACATTTTATCTGAATCACATTAAATTTTAGAATGAATTTCTAATTTGAATAAATATATTATTTTTTTAATATTTTAACGTAGGACCTTATTTAATTACTTATTTTATTCTTTGTTATTATCTGTAAATTCCCCATGTTAAAATTGGCTCCCTCTACATATTTCATAAAACCTACTAACTGAGAACCACATGTGTGTGAGCAAAATCATTAATTTTAACCCCGACACACTTGAACCAGCTTCTGCTGTCTGATTTACAAGTAAGTGGTTCTCCATAGTTCTTCTGCTGCTAATAATTTAAGACTTGTGCCAATTGTTTGTTTTTAAATTGACGACTAGATATATTTTATTTTCCGGGACATTTCAGTTTCTTTAAAGATAAGTTCTGAGATCCTACATGTTCTCCGTATTATTTTATGGGTTGGAGGCTTGGACATTAAAGAAAGATGTTTCGGACCGATTAAAAGCCTTCGAGTTATGGGCCTACATAAGAATATTAAGAATAAGTTGGGTGGATACAGTCACGAATGTCGAGGTTTTGAGAAGAATGAGAAAAGATAAAGAAGTTTTAAATACAATTAAAGTCAGCAAACTGCAATATCTGGGACATGTAATGAGGGGCGAGCGTTATAAATTGTTGCAATTAATAATGCAAGGAAGAATACAGGGTAGGAGTGGCGGAAGAAGACGCATCTCCTGGTTGAATAATTTGAGAGCTTGCTTTAACTGCACTTCTGCTGACCTCTTTAGAGCAGTGGTATCGAAAGTGCGAATTGCCATGATGGTTACCAACCTTCTTAGAGGAGATGGCACATGAACAAGATATTTTATTTTCGCTTGCATATTATTTGTTTATTTTAGGTTATATACATTTACTATAAATACACTTGTTATATCTTCTTCTTCTTCTTCCAATGGCGGTACAGCCCAAATTGAGCCTTGGCCTCCTGTAACTTCTGCCTCCAACAAAGGCGATCTCGCGCCACTCGTCTCCAAGCCCTGACGTTCAGTAAGTTGTGCGCATCTGCTGTGACTTCGTTCTTCCATCTATTACGTGGTCTTCCCTTTGGTCTTCTGCCCTGCATTTTACCATCCAAGGCCTTTCTCGGCAATCTGTCGGCATCCATCAGTACCACATGACCAGCCCATCGAATCCTTTGTACTCTAGCGAACTCTGCAATAGGTGCTTCTTTGAACAGTTGGTAGAGTTCATGGTTATATCTAGATCTCCACATCCCATTTTGAGTGATGGGTCCAAAGATCTTCCTTAGGATTTTTCTCTCGAAAACCTCCAATCTTCGTTTAGTGCTTTCTGTCAAAACCCATGTCTCGCATCCATAGCATACTATCGGTCTGATGATAGTTTTATAGACCTTAAGTTTCGATTTTCGATGTACCGTCTTGGAGCGGAATATGTTATTCAGGGATAAATAGGCTTTATTTCCCTTCATTATTCTCTTCTGAATTTCGGCCTCTTCTGTTCCCTCCGTATTCATTTCGACTCCCAGATAAGTAAAACTCTTCACTGTTTCAATGTCATCCTCTACTTTGATTTGATTTCTTGTTCGCTTTGTCCGCGTCTGTGTTAGTATTTTTGTCTTCTGTGTATTTATTTCAAGTCCAATCACATTGGCCGTTTTTTTCAGCTACGAATATGTTTCTGCTGCATCATCCACTCTGCGGGACATGAGGTTAATGTCATCCGCATATGCGGCGAGCTGGACAGATTTGTTTGTTAGGAGATTGGCTCTTCCGACATTCAGCTTTCTGATGACATATTCAAGGGCCAGATTGAACAGTGTTGGAGCTAGTCCATCACCTTGTTTCAGCCCTTGAACTATTTCGAAGCTGTCAGTTAATTCGTACTGTATGTGTACAGTTGCTATTGTGGAGTCCATCGTTGCTTTTACTAGTCGGATATATTTCGAGGGAATATTGAAGCTTTCCATGATGTTATATAACCGGCTTCTATTTATGGAGTCATAAGCCTGTTTGAAGTCGACAAATATATTGTGAACATCAATATCGTGTTCCCAAGCTTTATTAAGGATTTGCTTTACTGTAAAAAGCTGATCTATTGTCGACCTGCCTTGTCGAAAACCGGTCTGGTATTCGCCGATAATATTTTCACATAATGGTTGAAGTCGCCTATTCAGGATGGATGTAAAAATTTTGTAGGCCGAACATAGGAGGGTTATGCCGCGGTAATTTTCGCATTTAAGTTTGTCCCCTTTTTTGTAGATTGGTCAGATAATCCCATTTTTCCAATCGCTAGGAATTTTTTCTTCCCTCCATACCTTAGATATGAGCCCGTGCACCTGCGTTGTTAGATGTTCGCCACCTAATTTATACAGTTCGGAAGGGACATCGTCAAATCCCGGCGCTTAGTTGTTTTTTTGCGCCTGTATTGCTTGTTTGACTTCTTTAAGAGTCGGGCTGCTTATTTCTTCGTCTCCTTCCTCGATGTGCCGCGTATCCGAAGATCGTGAGCTTCCTTGTGCTTCTAGCAGAGCTTGGAAATGGCTTTTCCAAACTGATTTTATTTGCGTTGGTTCACTAATTATCTTATCTGTTATATCCTTGCGCATAATAAGCGGGCGTTATGGCATTAACGCCTTGTTATATAAGAAAAAAAGCAAATGTTATAACACGAAGTTTTTGGATATTTTAAACAATTTTAAAAGGAGTAAATATTATATAGAACTTAAATATAAATCCAACTGACATCTACATACTAATATAATCAACAAACGTCAAAATATCAAAGACTGTCATAGACTACCTACTCCAAACAAGTAAAAACGTCTCAATTTGAGTTTTTATATTATGTGAACTGAAAAATAAAATCTTGTATATACCGTATGTAATCTGGTGTTACTGTATAAATACGTCCATCAAGCAATAGAGATTATATTGCTCTCCGGACGTAATCATCTTATTAACACTTTTGGTATATAAATGGATTTAGTGTCCGCAGTCATTTAAACACAAACAAACAACAACAACTATTATGTCATACTAGTAGAGGCCTACTTAACGCACTTGATACATAAATAACTATTAATTTTTATTACTTCAATTAATTACCCAGTTAATTCTATATTCCTGTAAAAAAATCTTCACAAATTAATTAATAAAACCGGTTTTCTAACACTTTTAGTTTTTTTGCATTTTTTTTATTAAAATATTAACGAACACATATTTTAAAATATTTAATTAATTAATATTTGCATATATTCTTATGCACTTTTAGTTAAAGTTTACTCTGGAAAATCAAGAGCTTCTTCAAGATTCAAGAATTCCGTCCACTTTTTACGTCCTTGGTAAAGACGGCGTTATCGAATACAAACTTAAAAAGAATTTTGAGTCTCCAAAACGATACAGAAGATGGGAAATATTCGATAGTAAGAGCTTTTATTTAAGTTTTAATTTTTGTTATATACACTTCTCCAAGAAATTAACGCACCACTTCAATAAATCAATTTTATTTGTAAACTGTCAAAGAATAAAAAATAAAACTTCACCAGATTTATTCTACATTTTATTAGTTTTTATTAGTATTAGTATTAGTATTAGTAACAATTTGTCTAATTATCAGAATATGTTGTAGTACAGGAGAAAAAAAAACAAAACGGAAAATTCTAAAAAAATAATCATAAGAAAAGCAAACTGAAATATGAAAAAAGCCTTAATAATGATTGTTTCTACCTGTACTACGTATAACAGGCTCACATCGTTCGCCCATACTTAAAATTAATTGCCGTATTTCATTTTGGTCTAGTTCTCTCCAAATCTGGATCAGCCTTTCTCCCACTTCCTGTAAGTTGTTTGGTTGGATCGGTGTCGATCTTAATCACCTACCAAAGATATACCAGAGATTTTCAATCGGATGTAAATCCGAACTATGTGCTGGCTATTCCATAGTGTAAATTTCTAATTCTTCTAGATAATTACTGACGATCTGTGCATGCAATGCGTGAGGTCTGGCATTATCTTGCATTAGTAAGAAATTTTCACCGATATAAGGAGCAAATAGTACTACATGTTGCTCCAGGATCTTTAATACGTACCTTTCAGCTGTAACAGTTGCATTTTGTATCACCACTAGGTCTGTACGTGCGATCAAAGAAATACCACCCCACACCTTTACGGATCCTCCACCAAAAAATGTGGTGTGTGAGAAGTTACACTGAGCATATCGTTCGTTGGGTCGTCGCAACACACGAACACGTCTGTCGTTATTGTACAAACAAAATCGGGATTCATCAGTAAATGGCCCTCGTTCCCAGTCAGCCTCTAACCAATTAACGGGGTTCTCTGGCAAAATGTAGTCTCCCCCTTCGATGCTCAGCAGTTAATAGAGGACCTCGGACGGTAATCCTAGATGTTAAGTTGTATTCCCTAAGTTGCTAGCGAATAGTTTCAGTACTAATTTGTATAGCATGCACATAAAACGTTGTCGAAGAGCAGAAATTCTTAAAAATCGATCTTGCATAGGGGTACTTACCCGGTTTCATCCTTGCCCTGGACTACGAGTATGATCCCCTATTTCGAGGAATCTTTCTAACACCCGTGAGGCGGATGTGTGGGACACAAAAAACCGACGACCAATTCTTCGGTAACTCCAACCTTCTTCCGACAGTATCACTTCTTGGTCACATTTATCTCGGGTTAAATTACATAATTGACGTTCCATAATAAACACAATTAACAGTAATCAACAATTAAACAGTAGCCAAATAAAATTCGTGAACACTTGGAAATTAGTATATTTATAGAATTAGTACATTTTTTGCTTCTTTTTGTTTTAATGCAAAAAAAATATAGCGATAAAACACAGTTAATAAATAAAGAGTGTACGAATAGCGTATACAAGGGGCTTACTAAATATAACATTACAATGGAAATTTTTATTAACGCTAATAAAATATTTTAATATTTCAAATTGGTGCATTAATTTCTTGGAGAAGTGTATTTAATAGTAAAATACACTTTTAAAAATCCAACACCCCTTTATATTTGTCATTTTAACATAGATCACGACATTGTTTTGTTGATTATACAACACAATGGCAATATTAATTCCTATGGTCAACAAAACAATGTCGTTATCTGTATAAGGGTTTTCAATAATTTTTCACAGAAACCTACTACAGTTAAAACCGTTTATATCAACATCGTTAAAAACAACAAATTGGATATATTGACTAAAATTAAAAATCCCAGCTGAATGCTATATGACCGTCATATCACAGAATACACCACCCAACAAGAAGTAAAGCGAAGAGCTTTTTCGCAATCCAAATTTCTGTGAGAATCCGTCAAGTTCAAATAGTAGTTTATTTGTCAACCTATAAAAACTGAAGTTTTTTTACATATTGACAAGTGTTGTTTCGTGTTTGTTGTTTAATAGTAAAAACGAATAATACTATTATACATATTTTTGTATATACATATTTTAATAACTTAAAAAAAGTATAATATAATAGTAAAAAAAACAATGATACTGTTATTTAAATACCTTAAAAAATCGATCAAAAATAATAGAAATCGACTGATTTTCATCTCTATTTTGAAATTAACTCTCAAATTCAATCAGTTTTTTAACGTACTAAAATAGTTTTAGTACGTTAATTTATTTGTTTACAAAAAACAAATCGATATTTTTGACTTAAGACCTATTTACTTATCAGTACAGAATTGATCTAAAGGTTATAATAAATTTTACAGAAAAAATACAATTCATACAAAACAGATCTACTTAAAAATCATTAGTTTTAATAATTACTTTGTTTCTCAGTGTAACTATAACTATAACTACTGTTTTGAATGACTTCCTCATTACTTCTCTTAGTATACTAAGTAGTTTAACTGTCATTTTCCTTCTGAAATTTTTGTCCTATAAACATCAAAGTTACCGACAAAGCTTTCGCTTCTTGTTGGGTGGTGTATTCTGTGGCTATATCAAAAACATTGCTTTTTGCGATAAACCTTATTAAGCGAGTATATTTTACTAATATCTTCGGAGAATTATATCTATTATAACAAGTAGCTCAGCTGTTGTTATAATGGATAAACTTGTAGAAGACACATATTTAGGCAATAATCTAAATTTTTGGTTTCGAAAATTAAGAAATCTTCGAATTTGGACTTTTTATTTTTGTGATTTAATTTAATATTTTTTTAATTTAGTTTTTCTAATTGTCATGCTTTCGTGGTCATGCTATGCAACGAGGTTCTTTCTATTTTAAGATATCCTATTCACATTCCAATATGTTTAAGAATGATTATGATTTGTTTACAGTTGTTTACAAACACCATTTATTAATTTAAAAACTGTTGGTTAGAGAGCACCAACAAAAACGATTAGAATTTATGGGAGGAAAACGTCTATTTATACACACGCATTTGTTGAAATCTAATTTATTAATAATAAACTATTACACATATCATTTCCTCTTCCAACATAAAATTAAAGTCTAATTAAATTAAATTTTTACCTTTTAGAAAATGCTGCTTTTATGCCAAGAGGTATTAAAACTGGTTTAGCAATTAGAACAGGAAGGAATATGATTTTCCTAGATAAAGAAGATCTTCAAGTGAAAGATATTGATAACAATGTTATTTCAGAATCTGTCATTAAAGGTAAGTTAAAAATTTTTTTCAATTTCCAATCACCAGTTAGGTAAGGTCCATTGCAGAATAACTAAAATTACAATAACCTCCTACCCTTGACGGAGTTTTCTGTAAACGTAGCAACTCTTTAAGATAGACGCTCAGTGTTCCAAACCCAAAAAACAATAAGATATTTTTTACTCTGATTTCTAGCATTCCTGAGCATAAATATACGGGGCCCATTCATAGGTCTTGCTGATCCGATTACCACGAGAGATCAACTCGCATTTTTCCCTTTGTAATATTTTCTATTACAGGTTGTGTGTTTTCGTTCAATTTATAATTGAACTCAGTTTCTTTCTTTTTCCGTCTTTTTCATCCAGTTTGGAATTTATATATTTTTAATATGATCCCTATTTGCTTATCTGAACCTCTCATCCTAAAAGCTTAACCATTTCAGCTTTTGGGCTTTAGCGAATGATATCCTCTCCGTACATATACGTAAGTTTCTCCATACATAAGTTTAGATTCCATTATTAAATATTGATTCTTCTTCTTCTTCTTCTAAAATTCTTCTCATTTTTTATTCTATTGTATGAAAATTTTTAATTTTTTATCTTTGTAAGTTACACACATTGTTTCTGCTATATAGGCAATGACAGTAGTAGAGTTTATTTTATTACTAGGTAGGTATTATAACCTGATTTAAAGTTCATCTACTTGTTGTTATGCATTTTTTGTGAATTGAAATAACCTATCCCAACTTAACCTAACTACTTTTAGTCAGTCCTGATCATAGACATATACAAATAGACGGAGCTCATCAATACACTCCCGTTTCCTCAGTGTGACAGAGAAAACTCAACCAAAGCATCTTTTTCTATAATAGACCGGGTTTTTCTGCCACGTAACCTTCCCATTAGTCTGTAACGATGAGTCCAAGCCATCACCGTTAAACCAGCGTGCGCGCGAACCAACCCATGAAGTAGGAGTGTATCGACAGTAGAAAGGGCAAAACTAATTACCAAGCTCCGCTATATAAACCGCAACATTTCCTCATAGAGGCAGAATCGACGGGTGTTGACTGAAGGTTCTCTTCTTCCCTACCCCGGCTTGTGGACGTGTTGAGTTCACAAGTTGTTCCGTTCCATACCGTCACTCGAAGAGCGTGTTAAGCTCTTCATTACCCGTACTCCGAAGCAGTCGTGTTGAGACTGTCGAGGAGTGTCCTATTAACCCGAATCACTTAAGGGACGTGTTGAGTTCCTTTCTTTTCTTTGTACCTATCGTCCGCTGTTATTAAATCGATACAACGTTCATTTCAAATGTTCTGCAATGAACTGTTTTGCTTGTCTTTGTCCTGGTGAATTCCTCCACCATGTCAGAGATTTGTGACCTACCCACTTCCTTGTAACCATTCTTGTTACTGTCTTTGCAAAGCCGCAGAGAGTTTCCGGTCCAATGAATGGCATTGATGAGCTTTGTTTGGCCATTTTATCTACTTTTTCATTGCCCTTATGATTATCGTGTCCCGGTACACAGGCTACCGTAACCTTGCTGCAGTCTCCTAGATTATTTAGGGTACATACACAATTCCATATTAGCTTAGAATTAACCTCTAGAGAATTGAGTGCCTTAAGCGCTGCCTGACTATCTGTGAAGTTGGCATTTGAATGGAACGTTCTTTACTGCCTTTCTATTTTTTCCACGCAGTGATGGATTACCGTTATTTCCGCCTGGAAAACTGTCACATCGTTAGATATACTTACCAGGAAAGGTATAATTTGATTTGTCCCTACTATGCCGGCTCCCACACCCTCCTATGTTTTTGAGCCATTTGTGTACCAGGTAGCAGCAGCTTCTATGGGTACACAGCTCCAGTCTCCCTTGGCTGGTATCTTAATTGTGAACTTATTGTTAAAGCTACATCTGATAGCTGTTGCATCGATAGGTTGCCCCATCATAATATCGGTTTTTAGTTCCTCGATTAGGTTTCTGTTGTCCATATTTGGCTTATATATCGCAGACTACGGATTAATCTGTGCATTACTGATGTGACTTCGCCCTTTATAAAGATATAAAGTGGTGGTAGAGGACTTCCAACGTTGCAGTAGGAGGCATGCAAGCCTTTGTGTATTACCTAGCAGCCTTATTGCTCCCACTTGCTGCGTTTTTGTCCACCACGTCACCAAGCCATAGGTTAACATTGGTTTAATAACCCTTGTGTATAACCATTAGGTTATTTTGGGGTTTAGTCCCCAATTCTAACCGCATATTCGTCTACATTTACCCAGGAACATAGTAGCTTTCTGTGTAGTTTTCAGAATGTTAGTATTCCATGTAAGCCTATGATTAAAATGCACCCCAAGATATTTTATTTCTTTGGCAAATGAAATCTCTGTTCCTCTCAGCACCAGTAGTTTTAGGCCTTGTAGGGCTGTTTTTTTTTGTGAAGTTGACGATTTGTATTTTCTGAGCATTGACTATCAGTCTCTCTTGTTTACACAAGTCGTCAACTATATTTAGGGCTGCTTGCATTCTCTCAGACACCACCTGCGCAAACCTGCCCCTGACAACGGTTGTTATATCGTCATGGTTTTTGTGGTAACAACTCGAATATTTAGTAATTTGTGTTACTTTTAATACGTTCAATTATGTGTGTTTACACCTAATGTAGAACCTCTAATTCCATGTTAATATTTTCATAAGGTTCTTTAATAGAACCACAAACGCTAAGGATATGTACGGTCTGGTGTAAATATCAATCTCGATATTATGTTAGCTCTGCTAATACATTTATGGTTTTATTTAGTTAAATTATTCTTTATAAACGAAATACTTTATAAACTGACTTTTTAAATGAATAGTTCTATTGTGTTATCTTTTACATTATTCTTATACTTTTTACAATCAACATTCTTTTCTTTTAGGAACTACTAGAATGGTCGACAATAGTTTTATACCTGGCCGAAATGGAGGAGACATCGCTGTTTTAACCGTCGGTACCAAAAGGTCCAGAAATGATCTTCTAGCAGTTGCAAGTCATGAAGAAACTGTTGTTAAAGATTCTATGGATTTCGTTAGAGTAAGTCTTCGCCAGATATTTAAACCTTGCTTCTTGCTTTATTATTTTCCCATCAACTTCGATTTTACATCGTAGTGGATATTTAGATAGATTTTCATGCATTTAGTTTTTTCTGCTGATATTATCATATTGTATTTCTTGGCTGTTGTATTGACGATGTGTGTTAATCTTTGGAGCTCAAACATAAAGTAGATGTTTTCGATGGTTTGTATAATATTGGATAGATATATATCATTGGATGTATAATCAGGAGAGAGAATGATGTTTAACACCATTTACAACAGAACAATAAACAACCCACAGGTACAACAACACACATTGGAATTAACGGAATTATTTTTTATCTATGCTCAATAAAACGGAAACTGAATACAATAAAAGCCAATTGTGAATAAGTCTTTTTAATTTTTTTTTACTCTTCTATAGATGTTTAATATCAACTTATCCAGTCATTTTGATTTAAGACATTTAAGCTCAAACTCTTCAGATACAACACACACTTTTTGTAGAAGACTCTAAAAACTCGTTTTTTTATTAGATAAATAAATAAAATCTTACTTATTAATATTTTATTTCAGATTTATGATGACCCATTAGTTGGAAAGTTATTCGACAAAGTTCCAACCTATCGACCATCATCACTACTTCCGCTGGAGTTTAACCAAGGTGAAACACTTTTAGCATTTATGGAAAACAGAAGAATCTTAAAAGTCTATGAGTATCAAGGTAAAGAAAAAGTTGTTTTTTTTATTATTAATATTTATATTAATATCTTTCACCGCTCAAGGACAGCCCTAAAAAATACAGCAAATCTTTTTTTTTTTCTTTCACTGTGGGTCACACAGATAAAATTAGTTTTAGTTGTGAACGATTTGAATCGTTTTTATGAAGTGCGAATATTATTAAAGATATAATCAATTTCTTTCATGAATCAGTATTAAGATGGAATATGATAGCAAATATCCCTAGCTTCTGCGAGACACGGTGGTCCGAGAAATACAAGGTAATTAGGGTTCTTCGAAAAAATTTCATTGAAAGAGTATAGGCCTTGCAAACAATATCCATTGAAGGAAATTTGGCCACTAGAAAAACATCTTATCAGTTGCATTCTGCGGCAGACAAGATTTATCGTTGCTGTCATTTTAATTGTAAAATATTCTGAATACTTAGAGCCTATAGTCAACCGTCTACAAACTGCGCAAATTAATGTTTTAAAGGTAACGGAACATATTCGTCAAATCATGGATATTTTTTAAAAACACAGACAGAACGCAGAGAACGTAACTAACACTTTATTGCATGAAGCCAATAAGATAGTCGAAGATTACGGTTTTGAATTATCTACCCCTAGAACTATAAACAATCAACAGCATAGAAGCAATCAACCAACTGATACGCCTAGTGAATACTGGAGGCGATCCATGATTCTTCCGTATCTGGATTCTATCATATCTTCTCTAGAGACATAGTTTTCCGAAGAAAATACGCCAGCCTTCGCTCTGAGTCTTCTGCATCCCAAGCATTTTTCAAAAATTGATTTAAATTGCCTTAAATTTGAACTGAGACAATCCTTAAACCCCTCTGAAATAGATGGAATAGATGCAGAGCTAGAAGTATGGGTAGAACATTGGAATAAAAGACGCCTTAATAAGTTAGATAAATTCTAGACCCTTGAAACTTTTGAACTGGTTCGAGCGTCCACTACTTTTTATCCGTTAACAAAAAAATTGCTGAAAATTCTCGTAACATTGCCTTGCACTACGTGTACAGTTCGTTCAGAGAGGTCGTTCAACAGTCTCTGAAGAATGAAAACATGTTTGCGGAGTACAATGGTCGAAGATCGCCTTAATGTGTTAGCTCTAATAAACATTCATCACAAACAAATATTACCGAAAAAGGAAGAGTTTGTAGAGAGAGTTTCACAAGAATTTACAATTGATCCGCGTAAATTGTTGTTTAAATAATAGTTTTCAAGAACAGACAATTTATCTTGCTTCACAAATCGAAGGCATATCCAGGAGGAAATAAACTTGTTAAATTTGCATCACGTTTTTGTAAAAAGCCTTAATTAAGTTTTTAAATATTTAAATTATTATAGTTTGCTTCATTTTTGTATGAAGGCGTTGAGTGTTAATTTTGGTTATAAAAACGTTATTTTTAAAACTTTTCTGAGAGAAACCCCCTCACCCCTCTCAGTTAAGACTATCAATTTACGTCTATATTTATTATTGCTTATCTAACCAATTTTTTATTTCTCAAATTTGCCACCCCTCCTAGTTTTGTTCCTGCCGACGTCCATGAACACCTTACAGTTATGTCACTAAATACATGCCGACTTTTTTACGAAATTTTGGAAAGCTAATATAAAATGAGAATTATATTAAAAGGAATAAATATATTTTAAAAATAATTCAGAAAAATGTAACCTTCCTACAGATTTCATTTATCTAGACGACACCCAAAGGTCATTAAATGCTCCACCTATTTAATTTTAAATGAATCGGTTTACTAGAGGAGGTTCTTACCTGACCAATTACTTTCTCATATTGCCGTAACTACTTCCTATTGGGCATTGTCAATTAATTGTACCCAAGTATGTGATTCATCATAATTTGAACGTTCAATGAATGTTTTGTAGGTTGGACGTAAAAAGATACTTCTTTTTATGATTTGTCATTAATATATCTGTGTCTAAATTTATTAAGTGTTTAAGAATGTGTGCCTTTAATTGGTTTCTAAAATTAAAAAAGCATAATTATGAATAAAAATTATTATGTGTGCTTTAGTAGCTCATATCTACCTAAATTTTTTTCTAGAAGCGTTCTGAAATGCGTTTAAAAGCGTTTTTGTGCGATTAAACCACAGTAATTGATTGTAATGAGAATTGAAAAGGGTGTAAAACTGCTTGAGGCATTTCTAAATTAAATATTATACAGGGTGTTTCAAAAAGGTATGCCATAAATTAAATCACGCATTCCGGGGACAAAAATAAATAAATTAAATAAAACTTACCTTAGTACAAATGTGTAAACAAAGAAAATTACAGCCCTTCGGAGTTACAAAATAAAAATTGTTTTTTTGCATTATCTCCTAAACTACTTGACATTTTGTAATAAAAATGGACACGTTAGTTTCTTGTTCTAAACAGTTCCATCAATAATAGTCAAAAAATTGAAGCTATCATTTATTGTGTGAATAAGATTAATATTAAAAATTTTGATTTTAAAAGGAAAAATAAATACTAAAGGGTAATAGTATAGCAGCTACAAGGCGTTGTGCAGTAAAATACTCCAATCGAAATACACTCGATAGACAATTATTTCTGACCATTGATCGTCGTTTAAGGGAAACGGTTACATTCCAACCGCAAGTTGCTGTCAATAGTGGTCGTCCAATAATGGATGCAACTGATGAAGACATTTTAGAAATCGTTAAAGAAGTCCCTTTAATAAGTACAAGGGTAATAGCTGCTTAACTAAATGTTCCTCACGTAAGGGTTTGGAGGCGTTTGAAGGATCAGCTGCTTAACCCTATCAATTAACAACGGTTCAAGAGTTATTGGTTAAAGATTATCCTAAAAGGATTGGATTTGCGATTGGTTGTTAATGGAAAACACTCGAAATGTTAATTTTATTAGAAATATTTTGTTTACCGACGAGGCTACCTTCAGTAAAATTGGAATAACAAACCATCATAACGAGCACATTTGGGCCACGAAAATCCTCATGCCAAAAAAAAAGGACTTTCAAAGTTAATGTTTGGGAAGAAATTCTGGAAAACAATCTAATAGGCCCAGTATTTCTTCAAAACAATATAATTGGTAATATATTATTTGCAGTTCTTGGCAAACGATTTACAAGAGTATTTATAAGAAGTAAATATTGCAATAAGGCAAAATATGTAGTTTCTACAAGATGGCGCTCCACCGCATTACAGTAATGAAGTCCGGGAATACGCAGGCAGTATCCTGGTCGGTGAATTGGCAGGTGTCGTGACGCATCTATTTCTTGGTCACCCAGAAGTCCAGGTCTTAACCCCATGGACTTTTGCTTTTGGGGTTTATGAAAGGGAAAGTGTATTTTGTAACAATAGAGGACGAACAACAATTAAGGGTTAGAATAATTAAAATTGCAAATCAATTTCGTCAGAAAAATATGATTTTTCAGCGCATTTTGTTTGCTTATTAAAACGATATATTTCTAAAAACTAAGGTAAAATTAAGGTAAACTTTTTTTAAAAATAATGTGTTAAACTAATGATGCCACAAAATTCATTTGATTTGAACCTACTCAAAAGTTTGGAGGGATTTAGGGCTGCACTCCCCCCTTTTCTGTGCCCTTGAATTTTGTTGTTTTTTTTTTTATTTATGAAAAATGCTTTCAAAACCAGAAAGTGACGTGTCCATTCTTATTACAAAATGTCGAGTAGTTTAGGAGATAATGCAAAACAAAACAATTTTTATTTTGTAACTTCAAAGGGCTCTAACTTTTTTTTACACTTTTGTACTAAGGTAAGTTGGATTTAATCCTTAGTTTTGGTCCAAGTACCTTTTTGAAACACCCTGTATTTATGTAGAAATAAAAACTAAGCCACAACTGATTTTAGTGAAAATTACATTTTTAATTGACTAATGTTTGGCGAATCAATTTCCACTCCGAAAATCGTTTTCCTCTTGACACTTCTAGGTGAACATTAAGCCTGTCTTTTAAATAAAGTGAATCAAATATTAACTTTATGAGCAAATGAGCAATGGTAAAACGCACCAAACAATTTTTCTAATGAATTTGCAAGCAGTTTAAATCCGAAGAGGAAACATTTTATGACCATTTGTAGTCGTAGAAACGAAACGTTTTTTGTTAATTTTTATATTGAGACGAGGAGAATTGGCGGTAACATAATATCGAATCGTGTTTTTCATTATTAATTGTAAAGAAAAGAATAAATGATTATTGATGATTTGTTAAGACTGAATAAATATAATATTTAAATTAGACATGCCACAAGAAAGTAGTTTCAGATAGTTTTAATTGTTTTACCAAAGTATTCTCTGGTTTTAGGTATCCAAGGATTTAAACACAGAACTTCGATAAAATTGCAGGCGTCTAGTCTCTTCCAAGTGAACTTACCAGTTAAAGGTCATCTTAATACTAGAAAAGTTATAGGTACAATAAATAGAAATCAAATAACCTTGTTAATAGCCTTAATGGATGGTAATCAAATTAGTGATGATTTAAATTGTACGTTGTGATAGTTTTGTATATTATTTGTTTTTTGTTATTTGTTATTTTTATTCTATATATTTATGTTAAATAAAACTATAAATAAAAAATGTGATATGTAATGTAGTTATTTTATGTTTTGCCTATATCTTAATGTTTACTTACTGATTTAATTTTCTAATGATATCTACCGAAAAGGTTGTCATAATTAATAGATGTAACTAGAGTCAATAATTTCGCAGCAGACGTGATTGTAGATAAGTACAGTACATTTTTGTATAAATAAGGAGTAAAATTCATAAAAAATGAATAATAAAAAATAACGACCAGAGACCAGTTGGATATTAAAACACATAAGACTATTATTGTTTTGTTAATAAACATGTAATAAAGGGTATTTTTACTATAAAAACTGTCCATGTCGTGACACCATAATGAATAAAGCAAGACACACTGTACAAGTGTACAGTGTACAACACCGTGAAGGCCCTTCCTCCTTTCATTTTTGGATCCACCGATATTGGACATTATCCTCTCTAGCGCATTCGTTCATCTCCCGCAAATGTTCCCCTCAACTGTCACTCTAAAGAAGAGTGACTTATAACACTTTAAAATAACACTATTTTTATATAAACAATTTATTAACATTAACAAAATTTGCTTCTGTAAAAATCAAAAATTTCTTTGTCGATATCTGCTGATCCAGTTAAAGTAACATTATTCATAAACTCCTTAAATTCAGTAGTATCCGTTTCTATAAAATAGATCTCAAGGCCTTTATTTGTATCGTCATTTTTTTTTGTTCTTTGGATTTATTTTCTTTTGGAGAGTATTCAGACCTTGGTGAAGGACTTACAGGCAAGGGAGTTGCAGATTTACTTCTCTCGGATAAATGATCGTAATACATTCCATGTTACCGGGTGGTTCTAACAAACAAAATAATGTAGATGAGTCAAAAGCGTAATCGGTGTCGACATAATCATTATCATACGGGTATATTGTGGTATTGGGCTTCTACCGCTCTGGTCAAACTTGGGTTCAGATTAACATTTTTCACCAAAAAAAGACAGATATTACTTTTCACTTTAATACAAAACTTCTAACATGTTTACAATTAAGATAGCTCCCTACGTGCGACTTACATAATCAATGATCAGTAAATTGTTCTGTATTCCCCGTTGATTAAAAATAAAATGCTTTTAAATATGCATCTCCAAGGCCCGTTTACACTAAAACAATATTTAGCTTTGAATATAGCTTTAGCAACAAATTCATTGAATATTCTTATAAGTCAACCGCTTGTCTACTATCGTTTATTGTTCCGTTAAAATATCCAACCTACTCTGTGGCTAACTTCCGGTTAGTCTGTTTGTCTGCAAAATTCGAAAGACAATTGCTCAAACGAAGCGCTGTCCCATTCTGGAATATCTTAATAGATCACAAGCAAAAAATAACTGTACCCCTTCTTGAAAATTTCTTTCTATAAAAGAGATATTTCTTTTCCCAATGAACAGTACGAATATAGTCGATGGAGATATGTTTCCAGATCGCTGCAAAGGATAGGTATGGTATTTCTTACTTTTTATTTTTGCTTTCTCTTCGCCTATTTTTGACTTTGTATTTTCTTATATTTAATTAGGTCCCAAGTATGATCTGATATAATCTAAAGTATGTCTCAGTATTTTAACAGTTTAGGTCTTCGGTTTTCCACCTCAGATCTTGCCATGAGTTCACTCTGATGAAGACATGAGTCAGAAATATGCATATCAGCGAATTGTGGTACGCTGCAACGAAATTAAACCTAAACCGTTTATTTTATTATTATTATTTATACTCGAGTTTGGTAGAGTATAAGTAAATTCCCCGGGTTCGACTTCAAGATGTTATTTATAAAGTACGACATGGAACGCCAATAGTTTGTGCATCGCAGGAAAGTTACATAACCTGCTCAAAGAAATGCGGCACCTAGAAGTGAAAGCAATGAGTGTAAGTGAATTAAGGTGTTCTGGCTACCAATTCATTTCTCACAAAGACAACTTTACAGTGTACTATTCCGTAGCGACGCTACAGATAATTACCACAGGCATGGAGTTGCAATAGTGTTTGATAATAGAATTGCGATGTCTGTTATAGATTATGTTAGTCGCAAGTAAAATAAAAAGAAATCACAAAAACGAGTGGATGACGGAAGAGATACTCGATCTAATGGAGCAACGCAGACAGTGCAAAATACATAGAATCAACAGGAATAAAAGAAATCCAATGTACGATAAGGGCAAGAATTAAAATGAAAAGGAAATCTGGATAAAAAAATGTTGTGAAGACTTGGAATTACTACAAGAAAAAGGAGACAGCTTTGGACTACATAAAAAGGTCAAAGAAATTTCGAATATATACAAGAAATAAACAGAATGAAGACTCGTCTGAAGAATGATTAAGGAAAATACGTCCATACCCAGGAAAAACTAGCTTAAATCTGGGCAAACTATGCTTCGTCCCTCTTTGCGGATAATAGACCGAATCTGCCAACTACTAACTTACCCACGATAAGTTTATCCGTCTTCCCATTATTCGTGCCGAGGTGAAGTACGCTATAAAAATAACAAAACTAGCAAGCTCCTGGACCGAATGGAATTACTACGAACCATAAAACTGTTGGAAGATGATAACATCGACATGCTGGTAACAATTTTCAATGCCATATGTAACAACCGGCCACATTCCAATAGATTGACTTTATTCAACGTTTATAATGATTCCTAAATCACAAAGAGCGACAAAATGCAAAGACCACAGACTGATAAGATTAATGAGCCATTTGCTTAAGGTGTTTTTTCGCATCCTTCACACAAAAATGTTCAGAAAACGGAAGATCTAAGTGGTGAGACACAATTTGGTTTCAAGAGCGTACTGGTACACGTAAAACAGCTTTCTGCTTGAATAGAGGAGAAGTGGTAATATGGCCCCCTGCATATTTTATGGCCCCCCTCCGTATTTTAATAACAAAGTGCTGAAATCTAGTGGAGAACGCTGGAACTAGTTCACTAGTATACCAACTGGCCGGTAGGAGCGCTGTGAGCCATTAAGTGCAGTCACTCAGTAATTGTGCAGTAGTTTGTGTTTTGGTCAATCTTCAAAACTTTGAAAGGTATGTAAATTTCTTGATTTTAACTTACCATAACTAATAATAACTTAGTTCTAAGTATCGTGCATATGAATTAGAGGTTATTACCTACAGTTTAACACAGACTAGAATGTTCTAAGTCTTTTACATTTTATCTTGTAACCACGTGTTTTTAAACTTGGAGATGTGTGTATTATGGCCCCCCTAGGTAATGGTAATATGGACCCCGGGTCCATATTACAAGCAGTTTCAATATTTGTGGTTTTTTTATTTTTCAGATGCCTATAATCAGCTTAACACCTAAACCAGCCAGAAAAAGGCAAATTTGGGACAAGGACAAAATGAAAGAAGCAGTAGCAGCTGTCACTGAAAAGAAAATGGGTGTCAAAAAGGCTTCTAAACATTTTGATGTGCCTAAGACCACTTTAAGAAGATATGTTAAAGAGGCAAGTACATCTGAAGCCACTGAAGTTCACACAAAAAAGCTAGGTAGGAAACCAGCTATACCTGAAGAACTGGAAAATGAACTAGTGGAGTACCTGAAGTATATGGAGGCAAAATTTTACGGGTTCACTCGCTTGGATGTTCGTCGAATGGCTTACCAACTAGCAATTAGAAATGGGATTCAAACCAACTTTAGAAACGAAATTGCTGGCAGGGCTTGGTTGGACCATTTCCTTAGACGACACAAAGACAAGTTGTCAATCCGAAAGCCAACTGGAACATCATATGCTCGTGCAAAGGTTTTACTCGTGAAAGAGTTAATGCCTTTTATGACTTGCTGGAGTCCGAATATTCAAACACAAATACCCAGGTGACCGTATTTGGAATGTGGATGAAACGGGCCTGAGTGTAGTTCAGACAAAAATACCACAAGTTATTGCCAGTAAAGGTAAACGCCAAATATGTTCTCTAACTGCGGCAGAACGTGGATCTTTGATCACAGTCATATGTTCAATGAGTGCAGGAGGATCTTATGTCCCTCCGATGTTGATTTTCCCAAGGATAAACATGTCTGATCTCCTTATGAAAGGAGCTTCTCCTGGGTCAATTGGAAGAGCTCACCCGTCTGGGTGGGTTCAATCAAATCTGTTTAGAGACTGGTTAGCTCATTTTATTGAAAAAAACAAATCCAACAGAGACCTCGCCCATACTACTTATCCTTGACGGTCACTTTTCGCACACAAGAAACATTGATGTGATCGATTTGGCAAGGAAAAATTACATCACGATATTGTCCTTACCATCCCACACAACACATAAATTGCAACCACTAGACCGCACTTTTATGGGAGCTTTAAAGACTCACTACAGTGAAAATATCCGACAGTGGATGCTTCATGAAAGTAGACCTGTTGGGCCTTACGATATTGCGTCCTTTTTGGGAAAGGCGTACCTCCGATGTACCACAGGAGTAAACGTTGTAAATGGATTCTGAGTCACAGGTATTTACCCCCTGGAAAGAAATATTTTTCAAGACCATGAATTCATTGCAGGGGAGGAGGAGGCACCAAACGAAAATCAGGCTGAGAACACTGATAACCGACTGCATGACACTCCTGCAGTTGAAGTCAATCCTCATCCACCAACAACCTTCGCTGTGTCTCCTAAAGACATTCACACCCGTTCCAGAAAAAAAGAAAAAATCAAACCGTGGACGAAAACACTGCATCGCAAACGTCATTACTAGTTCTCCTTATAAAAGAGAGCTAGAAGATTTTCTGGCAAAAAAGAAGCTGCTGCAAGTCGTCGTGGTCGTGGCCGTGGCAATGGGAAAGGCACTGGAAGAGGTGCTTCAACAAGTGTCACATCAGTTGGAGAGCCTCAACCAAACCAAGATGACGCCATCATGTATTTTTTGTGAATGAAAGTTCACCAACAGCGTGCGGGGGGAACTATGGGTTCAGTGTCTCATGTGTTCACTGTGGGCACATAACGAATGTGCAGTGGCAGAGAAGGATGAGTACGTCTGCGATTTCTGTCGTTGTTCGTCCAT